ATTATTAACCTTATTGTTAGAATTATTTTCGATTTTTGTTTTCTCGAATGTTATAATTTTTTCATAAATTTGTATAATTAATTTATAATGTTTTTTTAATATTTTCAAAATAATTTTGTTTATTTTATTTTCTTTCTTTTTATTTAAAGATAAATTTGTTAAATCAAATTTTGATTTATCTAATTCTCCAAGTACTTTAATAATTCCTTTAATTTTTTTATTTTTAATATTTAATTCAAAATTTTCTATTTTTGACTTAATTCCAATCAAAAATTCTTTAGTTTTATCAAAATTTTCATTTAAAAATTCTTTTAAATCTTTAGCTTTCCACAATTCTTTTGCCAAAAATCCACCAATATTTATTCCATTTTCATCAACAATTAACTTTTTAGGTAAAATCTTCAATAATTCATTATTTAATTCTTCTTTTAAATTAATCACAATTGTTTCTGGTATTTCCCAAGAACAAATGTTTATCAATAAATGAAGACAATCAAAAATTTGTTCAATATTTAAATTTGTTTTCTTTTCCCAACAATGCTCATTTTTTACTTTTTCGATATCATTTTGTGTTTTAAATCTTTTACCAATTGTTTTTAAATTTTGTTTAACCGCAAAAACATTATCGAAATAAATTAAACAAAAATAAAAGAAAATTGTTAAATAAATTAATTTAAAATAATAATTAAAGGGCATTTTTTAAATCTGTCAATAAAAATAAGAGTAATGAATAAAGAATTTAAAAGGAGGGAGGTGAGGAGGGCGAAGTCCTGTGATAAATAATATTAATTGATTCTTTTTTTTTATAAATTTAAATAATAAACAATAAAAATTAATTTTAATAGCTACCCACCCCCCCCCCCCTCTCTTTAAATTTAGACTTTGTTTGGCCTGACAAATAAGTTTGAGCTACTTTAGTTTTTATTGGATTAAATACTATGTTTTAAATTTTACCTAATTTGTATTTTGACTTTTTTGTGGGAACGTGATAATTTTAAATGAATTAGGTGGATTTTTATATTAAGAACTTCCGTTCCAAGGGGTTTAGGCCTAAATTTTTAATATAGTCTCAAGAGTTTATCCTCTAGTTTTTGACATTGTGGCAAGCTAGTTCTATTTATTTAAATACTGTAATTGTAAATTTAATTTATAACAATCCGTTTTTGTAGTTTATTTCTTATAAAATAAAAATATTTAAATGTCAATTTAAAATCGACTGACTAATTAATAAATAAAATTCATTGATTATCCTATGGATGTTGTTAGCGGCAAGTAGTCTATTGTAAAAGGGCATCGAGAGTGCATTGAGAAATAGGGGGGGGGGGGGGGGGGGGGACTTGAAAAGGGCATTTATAAAAAAGTCAAAAAATCGAAAATCGATTTTAAACTCGAATTTAAATCATGTTTTATTTAATGTTTCTGGCAATGTTCTTGGCAATTTTTCTTATTGAACAATGCACCGAGGTTTTTTATATCATGTATATTGGTGATTATAATCAAAGAAATTAACAGTAACAAAAAATTTATTCTAATATAAAAGCTGCTTGTATATAAAATAAACAAAAATTGTTAAAGAATAATAAATTATAAATTAATTTAAAAATTATCTCTTTTGATCCGTTATGTATCAAATAATTCAAAAAAAAATTTTTCTCTTAAACGTTTGGTTGATGGAACGGAAGTAGAATTACTGATATATAGAAGTAAAAGTGGTTTAATTAATTAAATCATATTTCAATGATGATTTGAGCTTAAAGTAATTGTGTTAATCTAAATAAAAATTTATTAATTATTAATTTAGGTTTATTTCAAAATATACATATTAGACAATTTATAAATTAATAAGGATGATGTAATTAAATTAATAAGAATTATTTTATAAGAATCATCCTTAGAAATATAAAATTAATAATTGTGATGTAAATAAAAAACTTTAAGTTAAACTGGGAGATATTTAAATTTATTATATAAATATTAATTTATTTTTAATTTTTTATTTTTAAAAATTTAATATGATTATTTTCCTTTCCTTCAACATAAAGGCTTTATTATCAGGGTAGCCAATTCCAAAACACAAAAATAGGGACTCAACAATTAAATAAGGTAAATATCAGGTGAAACTCGAGAATGGGCAACCACCCTGTTTATTATTCACTTGAAACAATAAGATTTGAATTTATATAAACGAAAAAATTGGGTGAGAAACCTTAAAACATTAAGTAATAATTAATACCAATTTAAATTAAAGATTTCAATTTATTTACACATATTTCTTTATTTATTAAGTTTTAAAATGTTCTTCTCTCAATTATTTAATTTTCTTAAAATTATTAAATATTATTTGATTTTTAATTTAATAGTTAAAGAAAATAATTCAATGAATTTAAAGCAAAATATACAAAATCCTCGTAAATTATTTGTAATAATAGTAGCTAGATAATTAAATTTTATGTGTTATGTAATAGGATATAGACTTGACCAGGAACGTGAAATTAATATTAAATTTCGTTCTAATCTCCAATAAATTTAATGCTGTCATTTTTTCGTTTGGCACCCCCTCCTCTCCCCCCGCTTCAGATTCACGATTTTCGACATCTTTAGCATTTCCTTCCAATCTCTGGCTATTTTAATTAGAAAACTGATCGAGACTATATATCAAACAAAAATCTTGGTTATCGAAATTGAGGTTTTCCGACAATTGAGGTTTTCCGACACTCCCAATCCGTCTCTCCAATGCCAAAATTATTTCTCGTCTCTTTTAAAATAATAAAAAAATGTACAGGGTGTTTCAGCTGAAAAGCGCTATTTGAAAAATTAATAAACTTTTACTGCGTGGACAGATTTAAATTAAATTTTGTATTTTGCATCTATATTTTATGGCAATTTTTTTGACATAAAAATTATGTCGAAATTCGAACCCTAACCCGAGATAATTTCGTACTCTATCGTTCTGTTTTTCCCTTTTTCCGCACATGCATTCTTACTCCCTTTTGTTTGTTACAAGCGGCGATAGACACTAGAGTAAACACTAGGCGATAGACACTACATTTTCAATACAGTATCCACTCTTCGCCATACGCAGGAAAATAAATGCACTAAGATAGCGCGCAATGAAAAGAGAAAGGAAAGAGAACGGTAGAGTACGAAATTGTACGAAATTGAAATACGGGGTGGATTTTTCAAATAGCGCTTTTCAGCTGAAACACCCTGTATATTTTTATAGCAAATCTTCAAATGTTTGGAAATAAAAAATATTTCCAACCAAATTTCTTCTCTGTAAACGTTGGAGGTTCAAAATTCTCCGAGAAATTCTCAACAAAAATTAAAGCAAAAAAAGAGCCTAACTGGTATGAGAAAAACAATATTTATTATAATATTTCAAAATCTTCAAAAAAAGGAAATGTTAATTTAGCAAAAGAATTAGCAGAAAATTATTTAAAAGAAAATAAACAAATTAAAATAGCTAAAGAATGTGGAATTGAAATTAATTTTTTAGAAAAAATAAAAGAAAATGAAAGAAATAATTTTAAAAATATTTTAATATTTCTTTCATTTTTGAACGAAAATGCTCAAAAAGAAAATTTATTTTTAGCTGTTGATGCATTAAAATCTTTAAATTTACTAGAAAAATTAAAATTGGAAAATGCAGAATTTATTAAATTGTCAAAATATTTAATAAATAATTGTGAAGATGAAATAAATAAATTGGAGGTCGAAAAATATTTTTTATAAAAAGTAATTTATAAAAAATATTTTTTAGAAAGAATTATTTAATTCTGAGAATAATGAAGATTTAAATGATTATTCAAAAAAGAAAATGAAACTTGGCGCTTTCTATTATATGAAATATATTAAATTAAATGAAGAATTAACTAAATTAATTGGAAATAAAAATAAAAATGATAAAGAAATAATTTTAGAAAATTTAGATAATTTAATTGAGGAATTAATTAAATATAAAAAATTCTTTTTGGAAATTAATAATCCTAAAAATTTTGATAATTCGCTTATTAATGAGGAAATTATTTATGCTAAAAATAAATTGAAAGATAATTTAGAAAAAGAATTGTTGTCTTTAGAAGAAGGTAAAAAAAGGAATTTTTAAAAAATTAATTTAGTAAATTTAATTTTAGAGTTGAATTATGTAAAGGAGTTAGTAATTAAAACAAATAACTTTGAGCTGTTTAAAAATCAAATTAAAGATAAAGATGATAATGAAAAGTAAAAAGAAATAAAATTATATAAAAAACGAAAAATATTAATTTTAAACTGTTAATAAAAAATATTTTTAAGTAATATTGTTAAAATTTTATTATTTATTAAATAAAAAAATTTTTAATTTAATTTTATTGTATAAATATTTTTAATTTAATACAAAAATCTCCACAACTTTATCAATTTATCATAAAATAAAAAATAAAATCATTAAAAAAGTTGAGACTAAAAATAATTTTCAAAACCGGAAATAGAAATCAATATAAAATAAAAACACGTATTTTAAAATTAAAATAATAAAATTCAATGAGTGATTAATTATAAAATTAGAGAATATAGGAATTTTAAATACAGAGACTAGAAAAATATGAAATAAAGAATTAACAAAAATTAAATTTTTAAAGCTCCTAACATACATATATTTTTCATAAAAAATGTTAAATTTCAAGCTAGTGAAATTTAATAATATTAAAAAGCTTACAAGGGACCTTCCAACTGTGACCAAAATTTTTAAATAAAAATTATATGTAGCATCGTGTAGAACACGAAAAATTAATTTCATAAAACTTTCTAGGCGTTAATATAATTTTTATTTAGGTGTAATAAGTTTAAAATAATATTTTTCATTTAAATTTTTAGCTAAAGAAATGCAAAATTGAGAATATATTTAATAAAAATGACTAGAAGTAGAAAAGCATTAACCCGAATAAAAATATGAGAAAATTAAAAATAATTGTTATAATAAAAACAAAATCTGGGCATTTAATTGGCATTTAATTAATTAATTAATGTCGACCATCCAAAGCATCCAAATATTTGTAGTCAATAATTCGAGGTATTAGAATGTGTCTAAAGTTATTTTTTATATAATTAAAAATGCTTTTCAGTTAACCGAATTGGCAAGAAGCAAAAACAAACAATTGGAAAGACCATTTCTATGAAAGGATATGGGCTAAAACCAACAGCACAAAGAATAATTAATTGAATAAGTTGGCAAGTTGTAAATAAATGAACTTTACGTTGTGGTACTCGACGAATGTAATGAGTTGGAGGGTATGCTTGCTAAAAAAGGGGATTTAAAAATTTTTTTTGTCATATCCACCCAACCTGTTCAGTAATAAGTAATAACAATCTTTCAACCATTTCATTGCCTGACAATGAAGTGAATGCCATATAAAGGAAAAGGCCGTGTAATACAGATGTGGGAATTGACTGTAAAGGTGATGGTAGAAGAAAAAACGTCGAAGCAAGGATTAATATATGAGCTATAAATGTTGCTAGTCGAGTTTCTCGAACATTCATTATTCTAAAAAATATTTTTTAGTTTCTTTTTGAAACAAATTTTCGAGGAAAGAATTTACAGGAAATTAAAAATTAGGTGCCAAATTAAGTCCAATTAATTCAAAAATACTCACACTTCATGTACATGTCCTTGAGCTACTCTCTCCTCTACATCAGCCAATGCTCTAACATGAAGTGGAGAATGAGGTAAAGCTCCATGCATCCATGGAAGTCCCATAACAGAGAGGAACATATTTAAAATAGAAACAACAAGTAAATCTAAATGTTGAGCACTTCCCTTCTTTAATTTATTTTGATTATTATTAACAATAGCTGAACAAATATTTTGATCCATATAAAAAAGAAAAGAGAGGAAAAAGCCAAGAATGAAGCAAACAAAAATAGCCTGCCAAGAGAGGCGCCAAAATTCGGGAATTTTAAGAAGAGAAACATCTGCTCTCATATGGAAAATATCTTCTAAAAATTTTTTTTCAATTTTAAAATTGAGTAAAATAAATTTACTATCAATTTTAGAAAATGTATGTTCTCCAAGAAATGACATTATAAGAACAGAAGCAGGTAATGCATAATCAGCTAGCCATTCACGCCTTGATCGTGTCAAATAAGGAGTTTTTCTAAAGTTATAAAGAAACAGGGCAACCCATAATGTTCCAAACATTAAAAGAAGATAAAGAATAAAAGTATCTCTATTACAACCATTTTCAATCTGTTTATATAATTAAAAATAAAATTTATTTATTTTTTAGATTAATTACCTGTGGATAGATTAATTCTGTTGTATTTGTTAATAATTTTTGGTTTAATAAAGAAAAGTTTTGAGGTTGAGCAACGGATGTTGTGTCAATACAGCTTAGATAGTTATCAATGAAACCTGGTAAATAAAAGTTATATAGTAGGTAATTTAATATAAAATAGTGTTTTAACAAAAGTAGTTATAGAATTTTTATCATCGTTCAAAAGCTGTCAAACTCTGGTTATGTGTTCTTTAGAATATTTTCTATTAGGTCGGGTCATAATTAGTGTCGCTTTTTTTATTTGGGTTTTTTGGATTTTTAAAATTAAGTTTTCTCCGAAAGTTCAAAACCATCGGGGTTTTTGGATATCTCAAAGCTTTTGGACATCTACAGAAAATCTATAACTATTTTTGTAAAGCCACAATTTTATGAAACAACCTAGTAAATTCAAAAAAATATTTTTATCAGACAGATTTATTTATTTATCAATTAAAAAATTTTACTTGTATGGATTGCTCTAACACTTTCAACAGCAAAAGCAATAGCTATAAAAAGTGAAAACATTTCTTCTGCTGATCTTGTTGCCAATTTCATTAAACTACAAAGTTCAGTAGCTGCATAAATAACTAGAAAAAATTGACACCAAAGGCCAACACAAGCATACATTGCGAAAAAATCATAACCAAGGGATTCTGATATCCTATATATTACTTTAATATATATTGCTAGAGGGACAGTTGTTAATAAAATAATCATTGGTTGGCCACCAAAAGCAGCAAAGAAAACTCCTCCGATTGCCTGAAAATTAATTTTTAAAGGTATTTTTGGTTCAATTTCGGATATCCGAAGATTTTCCCAAAAACCGACAACCCAAAATTAAAAAAAAGAAATTCTTTTATAAATTTATTCAAATTTTATAAAAAAAATCTGAATGCGAAAAGAGAGAGAGAGAAATTGGTCGGGATTATCGTTTATATTTAAATAATTTTTTTATTAAATTATTAATTATCTCAAAATTAATTTATAAAAAAAAAATTAAATAAAAGTTTTTGTTAATCTGCACCTGAGCAAGTATTCCTTTTCTAACATTAATTCTACCACCCGTATTATCATCATTGAGCACACCAAAAGCAATTGCGGGAAGAAGACAAGCAAAATAAAGAAAAATAATTGAAGAAAACATTTTTTGCATTGTACGATGACCTCTTAAACCTTAAAAATAAATAATATTTTTTAAAAAATATTTATATGTAATCAAAAAACAGACCATCTAAATAGTCAGAAATATAATGCTTTTTGCGCATTTTAAAGTCTTCTATGAGACCACGAAATGGAAAGAATTTGCCTAGACCAAACTGAAATAACAAAAAAACATAAAAAATTTAAAAAAATTTATAAACTTACAACTTGTTCTTTTGCTTGACTTAAATGAATCGAAGATTTTCTTTCTCTCCATTGTGATTGTTCAAGTGCTAATTCTTTTGCTGCTTCCAAAAGTGTTGCTCTAAATGCCTCAACTGAATGGGCCATTACAAGACGTTGTCTAATATCCATATCAGCAAAAAGTGTGGCAAATGTTCTTGTTGTTTCTAATGCTGTCTTTGTGCCTTTCTATAGAAATATAAAGAAATGGTAATCTTTTGAAGTTGCCCCCCCCCTCCCCCCTCATTCCTGACTATTATGAGATTTTTTTGCTGAATATGTAATTTATTATAAATCATTCGAAAGAGCTCTTCGAGCTGGGTGGAATAATACCATTATTGGTTAAATTTGATCATCTTGAACAAAATAATGAAACCAAACCCTTGATGGAAGGGCTTTTATGCGCATCATGGGATTAGATCGTCATAACTTCATTCACACGAGTCAGATTTCGTTATTTTAGGAATTATCTATGTATGATTTGCCATAAAATGAGAGAAAATAAAACAAATAGAAATGGGAAAAAAGGGGGCGACTTCCAAAGTATCACCAAAAATATTTTCAAATTAATTCTAAATTACCGCTCTAGATGGAGCAATAACAATAATAATAAAACGGAGATCTTGCATTGTTCTGCCCAAATTGGTTGGATGAGAAAGGCGAGCAATAGCTACATGACGGTGCTGGACAGTACTTAGCATACAACTATAACATTATAAATATTAAAACATGGTACTTTCTGATAAAATTCACAGGAAAATGTATTTCACATTAACTCGAAGGATTATTTTTTAATTATTATGAAAATTGAAAGAGATAGGGTAATTATCCAAGGAAGGCAATCGAATAATCACAGTATACGAGAAATATACATATATCATGACTAGGGATCGGATTTTTAGGTTATAACCTATTTGTTTGCGAAATAGTCCTGTTTAACTGAGCTCAAATCCATTTTTATTTCCTAAAAATCTTTTGTTTACGGGATTTATTATCAACATATTTGAACCTATTTTGCCGTTTTTCAACCTAAAATAGGTACTATTTTTATGTTTTTACGACCTAAAAATAATGTTTCTACTCCATTGAGTAAAAAACAAAAAAGTAAAATATATAAAAAATATTACAGAGCACAAATCCATGTTTGATCATAATCAAAAGTTCCACCAACTGTGCCAGTTGTGCAAATGCTTTGTACTGTTCGACTCAAAATGTGAACTAAAAATAATTAGACATATTTTTTAAAGTAAAACACATCATACATTGATTTCCAGCATCTTGCGTAAAAAGAACAGAACGAACTTGTTCACTTGTAAATTCTGGTTCTTGGATATCCATTTCATGAATTATTCTAAAATTTAAATAAATACACACTAAATATAGAAATCCGAAAAACTACTTTGCAAAAATTTCTTCTAATGAAGTTTCTTGCAAATCCAAAAGTAATACAGCTTTATTTAACAAGTGGTCAATGTCCATTGTTGCGCGGATTTCAGATCCAAAATCTTTCATTGGAATTTTTTCATGTTTTGAATACATCAAAGTCACATTGTCAAACTCGTCTGCAGAAATAATTGAATATACCGTATTTCCTATATTAGAGCCCCATGGGGCTCTATTTTTCAACTATCCTCCAAGGTGGGGCTGTATTAAAGGGTGGGGCTCTAATTGAGGGTGGGGCTCTATTTTTCAACCCTCTTTTGAGATAAAATCCCATTTATTAAATATCCATTGCAACTAAAGTTAGGCCGGAGGGGTGGTCGATAAAACCGAAAAATATCGAACGAGGATCGAAATTTTCGATTTTTCACAAAAATTAAAATTTTATAAGCAATGAATAACAAAATAGTAGCAATAGTTCAATGAGAGTAAGATCAATTATGAAATTTTGGTAGATTTGGACGGGTTAAGGGAAATATTAGGGGACCAGTATTTGACATCGATGGATCAAAGATATAATAGTGGATTTTAAGGGATTATGGTGAATATAAGCGGATTAAGTTTATATTGAGAGATTTAGCGGGATTAAGAGGGATATTCTGGACTAGGGGTAATAGGAGGCATATGAAGTGATTTTGTTTGACGAGGCTCTGGAACAGGTTCCAGAACTGGAACTGAAGAAATTCAAAAAGCAGTTCCAGAACTAGAACTGGTATATCCCCATGATCCATCCTCCTCCATGATCACGAATCATCGATATTCCTCTTTCTTTCCTTAACTCTCTTAATACATCTATAAAGTTATTTGGATATTTTTTCCTCCAAAATTTTTTAGGTGGGGCTGTATTTGGGGTGGGGCTCTAATTGAGGGTGGGGCTCTATTTTTCACTAACCTCCAAAGTGGGGCTGTATTAGAGGGTGGGGCTCTAACAGAGGCTGGGGCTCTAATATAGGAAATACGGTAATTTAATAGTTTAATAATAAAATTTTTTCAAAATAATCATGTCGCAATATGTCCCAATACCCCTAAACAGGATTCGTTTTACCAATATTGCTCCAACTCATTGTATCAATTGGAGGTGTATCAGCACAGTCCATTGTATCATAACCAAGTGTGTCATCTACTCCACCAAAAAGAGTACCGCTGTTGTTATTTGTGTTGTTTAATTGGAGAAGACTGCCCAATTGACTATTTGATGAACGAGTATCACAAAATCTTGAATCCTTTCCAGAACAATTATCGATAAGAATTCCACTACTATCTCTCTTTTTTGGAAAGCGAGGAACTGCTCCGTGTTGAGAATCTGTAGCAATGCTAGATCCTCCGCTAAAATGAGCTGCTGCAGCTACAGCACAATCTTGAAGGCTTTTCATCGAAAGCCAGCTAACACGTTTATGCATTGCTGCAGGTAAGCTGCCTGTTGGTATAAATTCTTTTCCAACAAAACCGAGTTGTCCACTTTTTATGTCAGAAGGCTCGCTTGTTTCTACACTATCACTATTATTATTTTCATTCATTCGATTATGTTGGGCACTTCTGAGATATGAAGATGAAGAAGGCAAATGCCCGATAGCTCTATTTCGATGATTATAAAGAAGTGGGTGGTGCGAGGAAGGACCAGAAGTAATTCCACCAGTAACAGCAATATTTAGTATTGGCTGAGAAGAACGCCGAAAAAAAGGTCGATTTTTGGGAGGGGCATGCCGAAATGACGGAGTTGGCTGAACTTGTGTTGGCATTGTCGAAATTTTTCCAACATTCGCACTGGCAATGGCTGCTGCAAAACCTAGAGTAGATCGGAAGGCAATTGCAGGAGCAGCTGTATGAACGGATTGTCGCCTATTGATTTCACTTAATGAAGTCCCTGTAAAACAAAAATTGATAAAATATTCCAAAGTTATTATAACCAAATCCTGGGTTGAAAACAAGTTTGTCACTGTTATTAACAAATAATTGTTGCTGATTTTGTCCAAAAACAAATTTACAGTTCCCGAGGGTCTGTGTACCCGGTGAAGGATTTCTACTTTGAATTGCTGTTGAATTTGAATGAGAATGAATAAGAAGATCGAATTCATCTGTTGCCTCTTCACCCGTATTAACTTCTTCCTTATCAATTCCTCCTTCCACAGCTCCTTTAATGGATATATCAATATTGTTAATTAATGGGTAGCATTCATCACTCTTTTCCTCCTTAATTTCAACATAATCTTTGTTGCTAAAAATTTCGGTCGGACATGAATGAATTGAATGCTCAGAAATTGTAGAGGTTCGACGTTCTTGTTCAGGAACAAATAGAAGAGTTTGTGGTAAACAGTTTTGGTGTGTAATAATTAATGGAGCTGCTAATGCTGCATTACTAGCAATAGGAGCAGAATCAATGCTACAAGGCGAGTTTGTTTGGTGTGAGGAACAATTTAATCCAGAAGAATTCGAAGGAAAGTAAGAAAAAGAAGTAGATTGCGTCCCTTCAGCACAATTACATTCAAAAGAGTTTAGAACTTTGTTTGGCAATATTTTTGGTTGTTTTAAATCTTCTTCATCTTCAATTTCCTCGATTAGAGCTTTAGGTGCTTTTTTTGGTCCATTAGGAATGATTAACATTTTTATGTTGTTTGAACTAACTAATTTATTGCTGCAATTATTGTTATTATTAATATTTTGTTTTTCTACATCATCATTCATTACTTATTTTAAAATTTACACTAATTATTTCTTTAATTATATATGTAGATATTTAAACAGTTTGATAAAGAAAAATATTTTGGCGATTAAAATCCTTCCTTAGCACACCATTTTTGGAAAAATTGTTTGCCGATTTATTTTTTAATTAATTTTTTTAAATGTTGTGGTTTTGTTTTTGAGGTTTAAATTATTTTTTAACTGAAAGAACAATTGTTGGGGACATGAAGAAAATAAACAGCCAACTGCCAATTTAAAGAAATTAATTATAAGAAGATCAATGAACTCTAAGTTAATTAAATTAAAGTCTAAAAATCATTGTGGGAAATTATATTGAATTAGAAAATATTTGAAAGCTAATGAAGAGAAAAAAATAATAATAAAAAATAATTTTGTGAAATTATTCTAGAATTTAAAATCAAAAGTTGGTTATGATTAAAGACCGTTTATGAAATCTTTTTTGGAAATATGAAAAATCAAAAGATATATCTAAATGACGCAAATACAACAATCTCAGTAAAACTGACAAATTCATCCCCTTCTTTTTATAAAAATAAGATATAAATACAACGAAAAACATAAGCGAATATTGGGGGTATTAACAGATAGAGAAATTCTATAGAAAAGATAGGAGAATTCTCTGAGGGCATTTGAGTGCTAAATCAAATTAGGCAATTTAAAGAGCGGAAAACGGCAGCCCTGGCAAAACGTGACGAACGGCGGATGAAAATGCATGAATGTCCACGAATGGATAGAAGAGGCGGAAGTGCCGATACATCTGTTTGTTGTCTCGCAATATAAAAGCAATTTGTGTGTTTAGAAAGATTTTGGGAAAAGTTTTAAGCGTTTGGAATTTCTCTGTGTATATGGAATTGTCATTATAAAACGAATTAACAAAGCTGACTAAAAAGTTTTGTTGAAAAGTGTCATTATCAGCAGAGGCAAAAAATAGGGGAAAAATTTTACAAAAAAAAGAGAGAGAGGATTCTTTGAATAAAAAATATTCACACTCCCACGTAAAATTTTCTTGCTCGGATGCCGACAGAGTATGGATACTATAAATATTTAAAAATAAACATCTAAATTTAAAAAGAAAATCGACAAGAAATATTTACATACTAAGTAATTTAGAAGGAAAAGTTTTAGTAAATAAGGTTTAAAAATGAAAAAGAAAATTAATTTTTAAAAACTAAAATGTTATAAATTATAAAATTTCTAATTGTGTGTGTGTGTGAATAAACTAAAAACAATTTTTAAATCAAAAGATAATTTTCACATTTAAATGAGAAAATTTGTTAACAAAACGTAAATATAAATTTAAATATTTGTTGTGTATGTGGGAAGTTTGCCAAAATTAGAAGAATTTCAATGAAATCTAACAGCCAGCTGGTCGACTAACATGTACATATTCTTCTTTTATTTTGGATAGTTGTTCCCGTGGGAGAAAAACTAGAAATATGCCCATTTGGAGACAAAAACCTTTAAAGCAAAAAACTAAAGCAAAATCGTTCTTCCTTTTACTCAAATATTTCCCTCAATTTTTTCTTTTATTTCTCGCAAACAAAAGCAGTCAGCATTTTTCTTTTACGTTCCTTTCCCTACTAATTTCCACCCCCGCAGGGGTGGAAAAGCAAAGGGGTAACTCTTGGGCATTCCATAATATTAGAATGCTAGGCGGCACTTTCAGGACTCTATCTCTGCATTTAATAGAAAAAAGTTAAATGCGAAGCACTAATTTGCCACTAAATGAAAAAAGAGGCGAAAACAGACTTAAAGACTAAGCTAATATGGAAAGCAGGTAATGGGATGGGATAAATCTTTGGGAAATATTTTAGTAAAAGTTATTTTGTTTGGAAAACTAAAAAAAGCGAAAACAGAAAAAAGTAGATAAATATGTATTATTTGTATAGAAAGTTTAAAAAATATGAAGAGATATTAACAGGGGTGGACGCGGATGCTGATTGCTTGTTGCAATTGTGTAAAATTATTTTTTAGATTGCGTTCATATATCTTATAAAAATTGTAGAATTTTTTACAACTCTTATAGTTGGAAATGTATTAAAAAATGTAGATAATTAAAAAAAAAGATATATTATTGCTTAATTTAAAAATAGGATAGTTAATATATTAACATTAAATTGACAAATAATAGAGAGATAATGGATTGTGAAGCCTATTTTGGTTAAATTTTAACGTACTTATAAAACAAAATGAAAATACATAAGAGTACAAAAAATTATATGGTAACTTTTTAGTTGAGTATAAATTTACTTAATGTAGAATTTTAATAGTACATATGTATGTACATATAATAACGTTAATTAAGTATCAATCTCCTTTAATATTCTAAAAAATTTAAATTAAAATCTTATAAAAAGGAAAAATAAAAACTAGAAAAAGTTTTTCTTTAATTTGGACGTTAATTCAAATATGAGTAATTTAAGGCGCAATTTTTAAAATATTTGGAGAACTTTTTAGCTTATTTGGATTTAATTAATTAAACACGAGGGAATAAAACAGAATTAAATAATTATTTATAATGTAGTAGTAAATTTTCGCCATGTCTAGTTCAACTAATTAATAGCAAAATCTCATAACCCAACTCGATTTACTCGAGTTATACAACAAATTACCAAAACCAAACTACCAAAATATAATCCATTACCCAAAAAACATTTAAATTCAAAGACACCTTCGTCGTCGAATTCATGAGCACTATCATCTTCAAAAAGATAATAGTTTGAGGGTCGACGATCTACGGGTATAATTGCATCAGCCGTCATTGGTGCCCCACTTCCCGTACATGTACCACTAACAGTTTCGGGATTTGTTGGTTGACCACAAGCTGAGTGGATATTTATAATTGAATCAGTCGAATAAACTGTGGCTGATGTATAAGAAGGATCATAACCGACACTCGAATTATTTCCCTTATTATTATTGTTATTATTATTGTTAATTGATGAAATATTGTTGGCAACACAATTAGAAGAATGATTTTGATGAATATTATAAGGTGTTCCGCTACTCATTGTTCGACAACGATGGTTGTTGTCTGGCCCTGATTGTCCGGCGGTAGTTGAACTAGAACCGCCTGAGTTTTGCTCTATTGAATAATTACATTCCTGAAAGAAAAAATTTAAGTTTATTTGATAATAATAATAATTTTAAGTGAAATATTTTTTGAAAGTACATATTATAAAATTTATTTGACATTTTTTATAAATAAAAAGCCATTAAAATTTTTATTTTACATTTAAAAATATATTACTTGTGTTTCAGAATATTTCTTCTTAGAATTTGGTATTTGTTGAATAATTATTTGGCCTGTTGATCTAGGTCTACGCATTTTAAATCGTTGTTGTTGCTGTGAGGGAGTAAATGGATGTTGCTGTTTTTGCTGCATTTGAATAATTTGTATTCGTCTTTGACTTAAAGGTGTTTGTTGGCTATTACTTCCTTGTGTACTTCCACTACCTAAACTACAACTAGCATCATCACCCGAATCTTTACGAATTTCTTGGCTTTGCGGAGATTGTGAAAGTTGTTGTTGTGGCTGGCAACGACGTTGATGATGTAATCGGTTAATTAAAGTATTACTGCCAGCACAAGCTAAATGTGCTGATTGTTGTGACGAGGTCCCAGATGGACGAACATGAAAAACACGAGCACCGGTGCGTACTTCACGTTCACACCCTAAAATATTTTTTATATGGAATTAATATATCCATTTCTATAAACTAAAACTCGCCTTGATAAGTAAGTGGATTTGGTGCAGCGGTAATAATTAATGGAGGAGATGGGGTCTCTTCACCCAAATCTCCACCAGAATTTCTACTACGTCCATTCATCAAAGTAACTGTTCTAATACGTCCAGGACACTGACTTGGATGTAAAAGGCTAGCACCACTTCCAACACTTCCAAAACTACTCCCAGGAGATGAACAAAAACTTGTCTCTGACGCATATTTTCGCAATCGTCTGTGCTGGGGGGCCTTTTTACGAGGAATTCCACTTATGGGCAATGTTCCACCACTGCCAGCTTTACTGTAATGCTGAAGAACAAAACGGTCGGCTACTGTTGTTAAATTTGGAGGAGGTGTAAATGAAGTGATTTCTTAAATAGGAATGAGTTTTAAATATTTATGTACACTAGGTATATTTTAAAAAATTAAATAATGTTAAATAATTAATGATAACTTAGTTTTAAATACAAATAATAAAATACCATTTTGTGTATATGTACAGCAAGGACAACAACGAGTGTCGGTAGATAAAGAACAATTTTGCTTAAATTTAGGTGAATGCTGTTGAAGCAATAGAGGCTGTTTAATTTCTTTATTTCTTCCTTGTTGTTTAGAATTCAATAAATGATGGGGAGTTTTACTAAAAATATTTGTAAAAAAATAAAAAAAACATTATTTTACATTTTTTAATATTAAAAAATTATTTAAATTGATTTAAAATTTGTTTATTTTAATTTCCTTTCAATTACCTAATTCTTTCCTCTTCGCTACATTGTTTATCAATTATAATTTTTTGTTGTTGATTTTCAGGTATTTCAACATGTAAAGGCTGTATTAATTCTTGTACATTTTCTTTTATTTTCTCTTCAGAATTTTTAACAGAACAAACATTAATTTCATTTTTATGTTTTTCTTGTTGTTCTTTTGTTAATATTTTTTGTTGTTTTTGATGATTGTGTTCGTTGTCCATTCGAAGAAAAGAGAAAATTTAAAGGAATTTTATTCCAAACAGAACAATTTTTGTGTTCAAACCCTCTCTACTCACTTTTTAATTGACTATAATTTTAATTTCAAAAATAATGCCGTTGAACTATCATTATTTAAAATAAGTGTTGCGTTTATTTGATAAAAAGATTGACTAAATTTATGATTATTTTAGGAAATATATTGTTTAAATATCCCAAACAATTTATATAATAAATTTTAGAAAATCTAATGAAAAAATCCAATTTTGTACATATCGATGTATTTTGTTAAAAGCTAGACTTATGTTGGCCTATTTCAAATATTTTTGAACCTATTTTTGCATTAGAATAGGAACCTGCTTCTCAATTTCAGGACCTAAAATGCTTAAAAGTCTCGAAAATCACTATCTTATGCTAGTCACATGGATCGGGTTTGAAAATTCCAGTGTCGGAGATTTTCTTGAATTTATCTAAGGCAGGGAAAATTTTTTAAAAAGATTTCATAGAAAATATTAGAAGATTTAAGGGATTAAGAGAGAAAAATTTTCTCAAAATCTTGAAAAATAAAACTGTTTGTACGAGAATCGAGATCGATTTTCGAAAAATCAACCGAAGATTTTGTCCAAGATTCTGTCTCGGTTCGATCTCTAGTTGGGACTTTCAGGGTTGGGATTTTGGCCAGAAAAGGTTGGAGTTCGGTATAAGGGGTAAACGGGGTCTGGATCCGAACGGCAACCCTAGTTTAAATTATTAGACAAAACTGATACTTATTTTACTTATTTTAAATATTTATTTTCTTATAAATATTATACAAATTATATAAATATTCTCGGCAATTTTTCTTAAATTTTTCATTTTATCACGCTTTCCTTCCAGGCACATAACCAACGAGGCGCGGAAAAGCAAAATTGTTATTTTTTCTTTTCCTTTACCTCCTCGCTTTTAGGTAAAAAACAAAAAAAAGAAAATTTAATTAGAGAGTTTATTTGTAAAAATAAAGAAAAGTAGGCTAATAGAAAAGGCAACGATTTAGTGAGAGTTTAACTTTTTTTCATGAAAATTGTTCCGATAAATTAAAAATAAATTATAACGGATAAATAATTATTTAAATATTTCTTTGAAAGTTTCTCATAATTTTTTGTTTAAAATTGGATATTGTAGCCAAGACTACAAAGACTACAATTTATGTAAATATTTTTGACTAATATTACAAAAATAATTAAATATTATGGATGTTATTTTTAGATATGAAAAAAAACAAAATCTGAAGTGAAATTATTGATAAATAAATTATTTATACAAGAAATATACTATTACAAAAAAAACTTTTTTTTGAAAAATAGTTGAAAAAAATAAATAGATTTTCGATAAAAAATTCTTTTAGTTAAACTTATTAAAAAAAGATATATTTATTTTTTAAAGTTTTAAGGTGATAAAAAGAGAAGAAAATAAAAGAAAAGTCACAAGATTTGTTTAAAAAATTCCAAACAGATTTTTAAAAGAAAGGCAAATTGAGTTAATGAGCGGACAAGAAAAGTGGAATTTTTTAAGACTTGAATTGTGGACAGCAGACAAAGAAATAAAAATAAAAGCCAATAAATAAATTGTTAGGGAAATAAATGTAAAAATAAATTAATTAATTAAAAATATTTTTAAAAAAATAAAAATTATTAGCATATGTACTATATTATAATTAAAACTTAATACAAAAATGTTATTTTAATTTTAACAAAATTGAAACACTACAGAACATTTTTAAATAAACAAATAAATAGTTTGAAAAAAATGCCACAATTTATGTATCGATGGACAGTTTTCACTCAATATTTACATATTTTTTATCTTCTCGGATTTCATTAAGATATCCCCAACATTACCGCAAGGCATTTCTCATTTTTCGCCTCCCCCTCAGCGTTTTTATTGTAAAAAGTATTTTTACTTTTCTAAAACAAACTTTCATTTATTTTAATTAATTTTCTTAACTTTAATTTTTAAAAACAAAAAAATGGTTAGAAATTTCTGCAAGATTTAAAAAAAAAGGATGGCAACCAAAGGCAAGGGGAAAAAAGAATTGTTGATAGTAAATGCAAAACAAGTAAATTAATGCAAATTAACCATCCTGAAAATAAAAAAAAAGTGTGGGAAAAGAAGGAGAAAAAAACTGAATTAATGAAATAAAAAATGTTTGTGGCATTTATTCTGACAGATTCTCTCAGCTAATTTTTTTGCCGTTCTTAACCATTGTTCGGCAAAAAAAAAGTAAAATGTTCTGGTAAAATTATTGAAATTACGTTTATGTCCTTAAGGGATAAAAAGGGAAAAGTTTAGAGAAGAAACAATTGCCAAAAGCAAAAAAAGAATTTAGTTGACTTATGCAGATTATCCCTCTCCCCCTCCTTATATGATGGGATAAAAATGAAAAATAAAAAAAATTTAAATTTTATTTTTCTGGATTGTGAATGAAAAAAGGAGGGGGAAGGAAATGAACAAAAAAGCTTTGAAGAAGGGAATAAAAGACAAGTCAAAGAAGATATTGCCGCCTTTCTAAGCATTTTATGCGAGAAAGAGGTAAATAAATGTGAAAAGGTTTTATAACTTTTTAAAAGTAAACGTCTAAAAAACAATGAAATAAACACGTTTATGTCGGAAATGTCAATCGGAAAGCAATGAAAAAAATATAAAGGTTCAAATAAGTAGACAGGAATGAAGCTATGTAGAACATGACTGCTGTAATTGCTTAATCAAATAAACAATAATATTTTCACATGCTTCTAAGTATAAAGGTCTCCCGACTTTCCCATCCAAGTCTCGACACCGAATTCTCTCCATTATTCTTTGTACCCCACTTTTACATGGAAAATAAATTAAGTATAATAAATAGTTAAGAATAGAAGAACCCTAGTTGGATATCCCTAGACATATCAGAAAATATTTTCCCCGTTAGTGTAAAAATAGTTCACATTTTTTGTGTTTACATTTTTATATGGAAATCCTTTACAATTTTAATTTAGCGATTTTTGAATTATTTAAAATATTCTAAGCTTAAAATTAATGCTGGTTATTAAAAGTTTGAGTAATGCTTCTTTTGTTAAAGAGAATAAAGCGAGGAAAAACTTTCTTTTCATTATTTAGTTAGCAGGTAATCGGTTTTTAAATCTAAATTTTATCTTATGTTTCAGTAACTAAGTAATCAATCTTACTACTCAAAGTTCTAATAAAACCTTCAAGTATTCACATTTTTACTCATTTTTTTCATTTGAACTAATAAAACTTCTATTTAATTTTCTCATACAAATGTCAATTGTGGAAAAGGAAAATTAACAGGTGTTTTACTCTAATAGACTTTATACTTTTAACATAATTTTTCTTAGAGGAAAAATAAAATATAAGGAAGTAATTTATTTATTATTTTGTTTGTTATCTAATTTTTGATGATCTTAATTGATAAAATAAAACAATTTATTTTAAATGTTCGGAAGGAATTTAGTAATTATTTTTTCAAACAAATAATTTTTTAAAATATTGATTTAAAATTTTGTTGAGTTTTTTAAGGTATTAGACAAAGAAATAAAATAAAAAGAAAAAGCAAAAATGATGAATGGATATTAAAAAACGAACGGAGAATGTGAATAGAGTATTGCAAATTGTCCCCAGGGGCGCTTCAATTGCCAGAAGTGGAAAAAATATTTTTAAAAGATTTTTAAAAAATTATAAAAAATATTTTTTTTTAATCCACAGAAAATATTTTGAATAGGGAAATAGTAAATGTAAGGGAATTTTTTAGGAATAAAAAATAAGAATTTTAGATATAAAATATTAAATTACTCTGCTATGGTTTTACTTTACGCATTTAATATTTAATTAGTGTGAAAGTTTTATTTTAAAAAAAATAGCAATGCTTAGTCTCTCAGTCAAACATATTTTAATAGTTGTTAAAACATTTGCCCTTTTTACTCCCTCAAACATTACTTCTTCTACTATATCCATGATGCCATACAAATTATTTTATTTATTAGCAAGATACTAATATAATGCCCCCGTTTTGATAGAAAGGCGTCTAAATGTGTGAATTTGTTATTTGGCGTGAGGGAATGGAAATGAGTAAAAAAGAATGAATTTTAGGTGAGGGTGGATTTCGAGTATTAGTTAGCTTGGAAAAAAGAAAAAAATGGAAAGCTGGAAATAAATGAAAGAAAAATGAGCAGTAATACTAAATAATAATATTAATTCTCTCGCATTTATACACACACACACTTGGCAAAAAAGGATATGAAAAGAAAATTAAAAAATAGTAAAAATCAATTTTAAATAATGAAAAAATAAGGAAATGGGTCCTGAAAAAATTTTTTTAATTAATAAAAACATTTTTAAAAATAATTTAAAATATTTGGTATTTCTCTAAATTTTAATAAAATTAGGTAGATTTAATTTTTAAGGCTTTAATAATTCAATTTATTGTAGTTGGAATAAATCTAGATAAAATAAATCTAGAAGTTTAATAATTATTTGTAATTTTTATAAACTTGCAAAATTAATTTATATTAAATACTTTTTATAAAATATATCTTTAAAACCTCCTTGTACTTTTAATTTCGATAAAAAAATAATTTAAAGCTGCAATTAAAGAATTTTTTATATTGAGAAAAGGAAAGTAATATTTAAAATGTAATATTTATTTTAAAGGTAAATAAAATACTTACATTTATATTAAAACTATTTTATTTAAAATTATTCCTTTTGTATTAAAAATTTAAATTAAAATATTATTTAATAAAATTGAGACAAATTGCGACACAAAAAAAACTCAAAAAAATAATTGCCTACCGATACTGAAGGGCTCGAAGTCTTCATATTCATCCTCTCCATAAGTACCACTGTATTGGAATTGAAGCCCATCCAAACAAGATTCTGGATCTGATTGAAAAGAGCCAACAGAAGGACTGGCACCACAACGAGGAATCTTTTTAAAAAAATTTTGATCAAAATAAATTTATTTTCCCTCACAGTCAATAAATCTCCATCTATATTTGGCCGGTAAATTGGACTGTTGAGTGTTTGTGCAAATAAATTTTGTGTTGAATTGTGATTTGGTGATGGTGAAGGAGGTGGAAATATTTCTAGTCTAGGCCTTCCTTAAAATGGGAAATGAATATTTTTTGATATGCTAATTCTAAAAGATCAAAAGTTTTAGAGGTAGATTCAGGGTGGCCCTTTCCAAAACACTAGAATAAGAAAGTTCCTCAAAAATAGGGAAAAAATAGGGCAAAAAATAGGGACGTTATTTTAGACATTTAAAAATAATTAGGCTTTCATATAAAAAGCATATTTTTATTCTGCATATTTTCCACTGGTTTTAACTAAATCGGGATCAGAAATAAAAAGATCATATGTCTGTTTGTGTGCAATCGAAATCAGGATTAAGTTTAATAAAGACAAAGGAATTAATTAATTTTGCGTTCATTCTGTTTCTCTCGTCAGTTTTCAAATTCTTGGCCACAAAAAATCAGAATAACCCCAGAAATCAGAAAATGGAAGAAATCATCTATAATACAAATAAGGTAAAAGGGTCACTAAAGGGTAGCTTAGAAAAGAATCGAATCTAAATAAATTTACTTTTTGTCGTAGGGGAAGGATCAGAATTTTGTCTTCTTAATTTTCCCTCTTGAGAAACAATTTGATTAGGGCGTGTCATTGTTATTCTTGTAGATGGAATTCTTTCTGGCATTCCTTGCCTTCTAGCCAATAACGAATTATTTACAAATTCAGCTTTTTGACTTAAAAATATTCTCTTTATTAAAAATTTTATTTAAATTAATTAATTTACACTGAGGAAGGTCTAGAACTGCTACTTGCACTTCTCCTTCGATGTTGTAAATCCCCTCCAATAAATGGATGTAAAGTAGAATTATCAACATTTTCAAATAAACCAGTAGAATAATTACCGCTATTATTTAGTAACTTTAAATTAAATTTATTAAATTAAATAAATTATAAATAATTTTACCAAAGAATCTCTATTATTATTTTGATTTTTTGAATTAATATTGGAAATGTTGTTTTTCTCTGCGACAACAAAAATATTTAAAGGAAGCATTAAAAATATATTTTTAATTTTAAATAAATTTATTTATTTAAAGCTATAAATTATTTAAGATTTTATTTTTTTAATAAAAATTATTAATAAATTTAGAAAAAAATATAGAAAAGCTCCCAAAAGACTAATTTTTTAAATAAAAAAATTTTAAATAAAATAAATAAAACCTAAGAATCTTTTTGCAGTATTAAATAATATACAGTGGATTTTATTTGTTTATTTTTTTCGAAATAGAAATTTAAGAAACTTATATAGAAAAATAAACAAACAAAATATTATTTGTTGTTTTTACGTATTTTTAAGGTTAAAGGCTAAAAAATATTTACAGGATTAATTTAAAATAATTTAAAATAAATTTATTTATTCTAGACCGGAAATACCTTTATATTTGTATTATTATTATTTCCTACATAAAAAAAAGTGAAAAGAATAGAAATAAGGGGAATTTACGTGGGCGTCAACTAAAGTCCAAGCCAAAAAGACATGGAAATCGTTGCTCATAGTGCCAAAATTTCCCATCTTTGCCCACACACATGCAAAGAAAGGGCTTTACTTTTTGGCGTAAAAATTTTGTTATTATTTTCTTATTTATTCGAAATAATAATAAAAAATATGTAGATAGACCAAGAGTGAAAATAAATATATGCAAATAAATAATCGTTTTGTTTTTTTATTGTTTTTTTGTTGCCTATTGTCTCTGCAATTTTATTTTTTATCAGATACCACTGTCTCTTATTTAGTTAATCTCTTCCACTTTTTTTTTATTTTTTACTTTTAGTGGAACGGCACTATTGACAATTTTAAGGAAAAAATAAAAGTAAAATTGCCGACACTTTTATGTATTAACTTTGCCTTTGAAAAAATAGGAATTCTTCACTAAAGTGCAATGAATATTAAGAGATTCTTAAACAATAATTGTTAAAAATAAATAATTTATTATTCAAAATTTTTAGTTAAAAGTAAAATAAAATAGGTAAAAAAAAGCTTAAAATATTTATTATTTAAAATAAAATTTCGATAGTAAGAGAATAATCTAAATTCAAAACTGTGTTATGATTTTTCATATTAAAAATACCTATAGAGTTTACCTACATATAAATATATATAAACAAAAGACTTATGAAATTTAAGCCGAATAAAAATAAAAAGAATTTTTACACCAAAATATTAAATTTTGTAAAAAATGTTGTTTAAAAGCAGCATGCTATAACATAAAACTATTTATTAGAATAATATACTGAGATTAAATATAAATATTAAAAAAATGTATTTTAGTTATTATTAAAATCTGTAAATTGACAAATTCTAGAATTTCTTTGATTTGGATCGCTAAACATAAAAATATTGCCTTTTCACAACAAATGACACATATCAAATTTAAAATTTTGGCAAGCAATAGTTGATAGTTTAGCTATATTGAAAAGATAGGGATTTTATCCATTATTTTTATCGAATTCTTTTTTTAGTTAGATCATCAATTAATCAATTGTTAACGAGAAAAATCCAAGAGAAAATGACACTTGCCATTTTGAAAGAAATTTATTTTTAAAAAAAGATGATGACGATATTGTTATGTAACAAACATATTAAATTTTTAGACAAGATTGAGAATTTTACTATTGAAAATAAAATTTTATAAAATAAAGGGGCTTCCTTCAATTTTGAGAATACTCAAAATTGAGAGAATTTTGATATTTATTTTAATTATTAATTAAACAAAAATTTTTATACATATGGACATAAATATGTAATTTTAAAATAAATAAATTGATTTAATATTTGAATTAAATCAACAAAATCTAAAAAAATGGTTTTGAAAAAAACTAAATGGGTTTTTGAATGAATATGTATTTGTGTGCTTGTGTTAAGTGCCGAACGAGCGGGCCAAAATCCTCTTTTCTTTTTCCCCATTTTCTTTTCCAACTTACTTAATACTTCAAAATCCTTCTGTAAAAATGCCGTGCTAAGTACTTGAACCACCACGAATTTGTCTATAAGGAAAAATATATATTGGCTACTAACATAAAAGTAAACAAAATTCCCTTGAGAATTTTGAAAAAAATGTGGGAGGATGATGAGGAGGTAAATAATGGAAGTATACATAAGTAACTTTGTTTATGAAATAAATTTTGGCTAAAATTGCCAACATTGATTTTTAGTTAAAAATTAATTTGAATTTAAGTTTAAATTAAACTTAACGTAAACATATTTATACAAGAAAAATTTTTATAAGTCAAAAATAACGCAAAACATCCAAATTTTAAACTAATTTATAATTACATGTTTAAAGTGTAAAACTCAAAAATGTAACATATTATTACCTATTAATTAATTAAAGAAAATTTAATTAACTACACAGATTTGATGTGTCTTTGTAAAATTATTTAGTATTGGAAGTACACATAAAGTTTAAAAGTATTATTTCCTCAATGGTGGGAGTAGAAATTGGTTTATTAATTTGCCTTTAGAAATTTGAAGGAATACCGGAAATACCTTGTGACAAATAAGCCGAAGAAAGTTTTTTGTTTTTAATTTCTTCGATGGACAATTGAATTTAAAGAAATAGATAGAAGTATATTGAACGAAAGAAATTGAAAAAACCAAATAATGCACCACACAAACATTTACACAAAAGTTTGTCTTAAATTTCTGGACAGAAATACATATATCTATTAAATTCATCCAAGCTTCTTATTTTGCATATTCTAAACTTTTCTTGGGAGTTTCGGTCTTGGTCTCACCTTTTTCAGATTTTAGGGAAATTCTGGTTAAGGAAATATCAAAAATTAAGGCTATGTCAAGGAGGATTATAAAATTTTCTGAAAATTATAAAATTTTCACATGAAGTGCAAAAAGTAAGAAATATGGCTTCTTGGCCTTAGAAAATTGCAATTGGGCGCCTAGCTCAAAATACTTACCTAAAAATATGTAATATTTATCCATATTGCAAAATCGAAAAGTGCCCTGTGGAATAAGAAAAGTCTTGGGGCAAATTTTAGTAAATTTTCGGTTTTGGACGACTCTATTAAATTCATGTAGTCTTAGCTTATTAAAAATATTAAAGAATTACATATTTGTTAAAAATTATTTTGTTTATATAAAAATAATTTTAGTTTAAATTTTATTAAATTTTATTTCAAATTATTCTAGAGAATAAAAAATATGTAGTACATAATTGGCAAGAAAATTGCCGGAACTAGTTTTTGAATTTTTAATAGAAAATACTTTTATATAAAATGTTTTTTAACATAAAAATTGTCAATTCTTTAGACATTTAAAGTTTAAATATTTTTTTGAAAATATTTTTAATATTAAATTTATTTAATTTAAAATGTTAGCAACATCTTTATATATGCGAAATTCTAGAGAACGAAAGGAAACAAAAGAATTGGATGCTATTGTTCAAATGAGAAATTTCCGTTCAGAATTTATTAATGAAAACTATAAAAAATTTAGTAAGTTGAAATTTAATTAGAAAAAAATATAAAATTAAATAAATGTTTATATCTACTACTAGAGAATTATGATAATTTCATAATCTAACTTTTTCGTTCCGCAGATTTAAACATATATTTGTGTTCTCGATTTAAATTTTCTTGTTCACATTTAAAATTTTATTTTTTATTTCGTGTTATATTCCAATAGAATGACTGCTCTATTTAAATGACATTTTAGAAAGTATTGAAAAATAAAATGGCTGTTATTTTATTGAAATTATGCTTTTAAATTTTTTATTAAAATTGAAAAAAACGGGAGACAGAAACGATAACTTAATAGCTATTGGTCCCATTTAAATTAATTACAGATTCTGCACATAGCCCAAAAAATTTCTGTTTAAAAATTCCATAATTTTATGTTATGCTCAAATAATTCAAAATCTTAATTGAAATCTAATAAACCTGTTTTAAATATTCCATTTAATTTCATTTAAACAAAAACAAATAAATTTTATTTTTTCACTTTTTTTCACTCCAACAATTGTTTTTCCATATGTTTTACCTTTTTTACAAATTTATTGGAATTAAAAAGAAAATGAAACACATGTTGACAATTTCCTTTAAATTTGTTCTTTTAAATTAAGTAAATAAAACCCCGTGGGCATAATTGAAAATCACATTATGTAATTATAACTTTATTAAAATTTGTAAAATTTATTTATACAAAAATATTATTTTATTTTATAAATATCTTTAAATTTATTAAATTCACTTTTACAATTTCTATTTAATTTCAGTTTTGATACTTTCACATTATACATCCGACATTTCCTTTTCTAAAAAGAAAAGCATCTCTGGGGTCTGTACGATACTCGATATTTCGGAATTTATTCTTTAACAGTTTAAAAAAGCTGACGCATGTTTGGTTAATATTTATGTAATCATAGTTCCCAAATATAGAGGTATCATACAAACCTCACATCAGTGAAAAATTTAAAACTAAGTATGCACTCCGCCCATATTTTGAGGAAAATAAATATGGGTGCAATCCAACGGAAAAGTCCGAATTATTTAAATAAAATTTTAATTTAATATATAGAAATGTCCGTTGAAATAAATTTCACTTTAAATATGCCTTTTCCTAATAAAATAACTCCATCGGATATATTATTAGTGTCAGAGAATGATGAAGATATTAACAACAATACCTCAGCAATATTTAAATTTTATCCCTCCAACAATTTGCCATTTTCAGAAAGAAATAAAGAAGAAAAGTCTAAAAAATCTTTTAATGAAAAAGAAAAGGAAGAGACAAAACAAAGAAAAGAAGAAGATAATTATTTATTTAACAGTAAAACACTAAAACCAAAAATTAAAATAAAAAAAATTCAAAAACAAAATTCGGATCCAATTCCTGCTTCACACCGAATAGAAACATCAATCTTTGAAAAGAATAAAACAAAAGGGAGTATAAAAAGAATATTAATACCAACACCCTGGAGAAATATTCTTTGTATGTTAAAAACATATTTAAAAAATTTTTGGTGTAATTAAATCAACCATAAGGACTTGGGGTGGGGTGTTAAGGTTCAGATAAATGAAATTTTAGTAAAACTGTTTAAGTAAATATTATTTTTGTATTTATTCTTATGATTCCAAACCAAGCCTCATATTTAATTTAAATTGTTAATAATTGATATGTATTTATCATCTGTCTTCGCTGTTGTTGTCCCCCACCTAAGACTGAAATAAAAAGTTGTGCTAATTTTGCACGGCAAAAAGATCTCGATAAATAGTCATACATACTACAAAAATCTACAAAAATTCGAGTAAACATATTTATCGATATTAGGAAAAAATTAAAAAAGAATTAGGCCCATAATTCATTTCAGTGTCGAGATCTCGATAACCTGGGAATCAACCTAAAACATGGATCAGCAAACGTATGGATTGTCATAAATGTTTGAAAATATTTAAAATTTGCTACAAAGTACATTTGGTCTTATATGTGTAGAAAAATTTGTATAGAAGTTATTTGAAGTTATTTGAAGCCTATGTTTTAAGTTGATTTTCTGGGTAGCGAGACTCGACGATGAGATGAGATATGGGCCTAATTTTTTCTTAATATCGATAATATATCGATAAATATTTCCTCATTTTTGTGTATTTATTTGTAGGATGCGTATTTATGTAGATATTAAGACTTGTCCTTCCCTATCTTTTTGTCCATCACTGTAAATTACGAATATTTTTTGGTTAATATGTAAATACAATATAATAAATTTCCTGAAATAAAAATAAGCTGGCGAAAAAAAGAGATTGATTACAAATAAATACTTTATTTCAAATAAACAATAAAAATTTGTTTATAGAATAATCTTTTTATAATTAATCTTCTAAGTCAATTTTCCTCAAAAATTTTCATTTAAAAAAATATTTTATAAAATTATTTATGTGTACTTATGATATTATTAAAAGTAAAACAAAAATAAAATCTTGTAAGTTTAATTTAAGAAATTAAAAAATTTAATATTTATATTTTATTAATTTTTATTTTTTTCAGTGAAAGAACTATTGGAAAAGGCAAAAAATGATTTTAAATACAAATGGGAAAATGTAAAGACAGTGAGATATTTTTTTAAAATATTTTTAAAAAAGTTTTGACTAAAAATATTACAAAATAATTTACTAAATTTATTTAAAAAGTAATTTTAACTTTGTTCTTTCATTAATTGTCGAATGACATTAATGAAAGAACAAAGTTACTGAACAAAGTGACCCGCGAAAAAAGCGGATGTCGAGCAGATTTCGAGCACAGCCTCGTATAGTGAAGGCCATCCATCCATACTCGGCCTACGCTCGCTAGTAGCAATAGTTCTAGCGAAGATATTTTAAAAATTATTTATTTTTATTTAAAATTGTTATATCTTTTAATTAAATAAATAATAAAGAAAACCCAAACAATTATAGAATTTATTTTTGGCGAAAGTATATTGAGAGGAATTAGATTTATTTTTCTATAGATGCATAAAGCCGATTATATTTTTGAAGGGTTATTGAACCTTTGCCAAATTTATTAAAGAATGTATAAACATAAATACATTCCCTCTTTAAATTAACAAAATATTCTCTAAAATAAATATCTTCTAAATATTTTATTTTAACCAAAATATTATCTCGTTATAACATATTTTGATTTAGAATAAAAAAATTTTTTCATTCTTAATCTCTAAAAATAAATTTTTTATTATTTTTTTATGTTTCTGTTAGAAAAACTTTTTTTTTATGGTTTCATTTAAATGTTATGATGTTTTAATGTTTATTGCTGTGTATTTAAATAAATAATAAAAAATATTATTTTAATTAAAATAATAAATATAATTACTACTTTTTTTTTATATTTAACTACCCCTAACCAAGTCTTATTAAAAGGGCGTTATCTTTAGAATAATTTAACACTACATACATAATATTCTAAAATTAAAAAATATTATTTATTATTTAATTATTAAATGTTTAATTTAGATAGTTATTTAAAAACATTTTTTAATAATTATGTAATCCCTCCTTACCCTATAATTTAATTTTAAGCATCAAAAACTTTATTTACTATTTTTAAATATTTTAAGAGAAATACATACAAATGTACATATTTTATTAAAAATAATGATAATTAAAAAAATATTATTATCTATTTAAAACTACAAAAATTCTAATTAAAATAAATATCTAAAAATAAAAACAAATAATTTCCTGCTTTATTATTAAAGATTTACTATTTAAATAAATATTTTTTATTTAAAATCGAAACTCTCTAAAAAAAGAAAATTTTGGAGAAAATTATTTTTATTCTATTTTTAGTTTTCTGCCAGTCAATCGGCGTGTACACATTCCAGTTTTTCTTAATATTTTCTCTTCTAAAAATAAATCGGTGGTAGAGAACGAGCACATCCGTCAGTCATCATTTAATATATGTACACTTACATTGAGTGTGTGTAGTATGTGCATATGTGCCCCCCCCCTTTACCCAACACGCTTACAAGACTTCCAAAAATAGTTTTATTTATCAATATTTTACTCTCGTTATTTTGGTTTCTCCTTATACAATTCGCTCATTCTTCCATTCTGACGATTTCTACATTTTAAATTTTTTTTAATTTTTATATTTTTATTTGTTAAAATTAAATAATAATCCATAAATGTGAGGGGAAACACCAGAATCCTTTACGTAATTTTACAATTAGCTTCATAGCACCTCATTAATACCTTTTAAACTGAATAAGCTATTCGTCCATTCTTCTCGCTCAGAATTTTTAGGCAAAACGAAACAAAGCATTTTAAAAATTTTTATATGTATAACGGATACATTTATTTTTCAATTATTCGATTCGCATTGCTAGTCATTTTTCTAGAAAAACAATAAAATCTTTTCATTAATAAAACTCAGGTGTATCGTAACGAAACAAAACAAAACTGAAATGTTTGACCCAATCTCTTCAAGATTTAATTTTATTTATTCGACTACTTGTTTATCTATTAAAATTATTTTCTTTACCACCAAAAATCAAAAATACCTTTATTTATCATTTGCCCAAAATCCAAATTTAATGCAAAAAAAGTAAATATTTTTATTAGCAAATATTCAACAAACAAAAATATTAAACGTTTCTTATCTTTTTTATAAACCATTTATTGTTTATTTAGATATATTTATTATTATTTTTCAATCTTTTATAATTTTAGACTTTTTATATTGTAAAGGACCTTTTTAAATATGTGAATAACACATGTTTTTATATAAGAATTTTCTCTTATTTTTTAAAATTATACCTAAAAATTTGAATTTTATTTTCTAATCTTTACTCTAAAATTTTATTACATTTTTATACTTTAAAAACCAAGAAAAACTTGGAGGGCAATATAGTCTACTAATATATTTTGATAAAAATTCTTATTTTATTTAATCTTTAATTTTTCCATTTTCCAATTTTTTAAAAATTATTATCTTTATTTTTTTTCTAAAAATTGCAGCAATATTAATTTTTTGTTTTATAATGATAATAAATAAATAGTTTGTAATTATTTAGAAAGGGTGACTTTTAAATATTCTTTGAAATATTAATATTTATTTTTTAGTAGGAAAAATATGTAGATGATAAAATAAATAGTCTAATGGTGTGATAAAAGAATAATTAGGAGAATTTAAATTTAAAATCGTTTTTCTAAAATTAAAAAAAATAAAGTCAAAAATACCTTACCTTTAAAAATTTTTATTTAATTAATTCAATTATTTTTAATTAAATATATATTTTATTTTTTTATTAATTTTATTATGTTTAAAATCAAAAATCTTTAAAATTGAAAAAAATGTTTAAATTAACCTTTTAGATTTCTGAGCAATTTTTCTTTTAATTTAAATTATTTAACTAAAATTAATTAATTTTTTAAAAGACCAATAATCAATTTATAAAAATATATTCATTTTAATAAATCTATTTAAAAATAAAATAAAAAAAAATTAAAAATCTCCAAATATGTATGCGTAATAAATAAAATAAAAATATATGTCTATATATGTATGTATTTGCACAATAGATCTATTTTAATAATTTATTTTTAAATTTATTTAAAAAATATTTTATTTTTAATTCTCATTTAATTTTATTAATTAAAAAATTTTTTTAATATTTATTTTTGTTAAATTTATTTTCTATTTTTCACTTAATTTAAAATAAAAAATTATTTTTATTTATTTTCGCATTTTTAGGCATTTTTAAAATTGAATTTTGAGAAGAAATTACAAAAACAGAGAACCTTTTAAATTACTTAAAAGCTTTTAATTTCTCTTTTCTTTTAAATAAATTATTATTTTAAAATAAAATACAAAATAATTTCTAAAAAATATTTTAAAACCTGTTAAACTGACATGTTTTAGCTGAAAAATTATTTTTATTTTTGAATAATTTTTTAAATAAAATCTAAAAAAATTTTTGATCGCTCAAATGATCATTAATTCTTTTTTAACATATCTCACGTTATTTCTGCAAAAAATAACTGTTATAATATATTCCAAATGTTTTTAATTATATGCACGTATTTTGAAATAAAAATAAATTTATATTTAGAATCATTAAAATAAAATCAAAAAAAACTTTAAATAAATAAAATTAACATAATCTTTAATCATTTATTTAGAGTTAAAAATAAATATGTATAAAATACATAACCTCTCAAGTTATTTAATAAAAAGATCATTTTTATTTTTGCATTTTAATTTCCTTAATTATTTAAAAGTTTAATAATTAATTTAAACTTTAAATAATTAAAAAGGAGTAACAATTTCTCTAAAAACTTTTTTCTTCCCATTTTCTATTTGGCATTCTTATTATTTATTTAGATTTTTTAATTCATAAATAAAAACATTATTAATATCAAAATATTTTTTTTAATATCTTTATTTATTTATTTTTTAATTAAACCAAAGGGAGAACGTCTGGGAATTATATGTATACCTCCTACCATTGGAAGCTCCTACCATTGGAAGCTTAACTTTTTTATTTATTTTTTTCCAAGATTTATTTTTAAAAAAATTTTCATTCCCAATATATATACAACAGCTATTTCATCTTAATATGTCCTGACTTTGCACTTTTAAGTATTTTGTCTAAAAATAAAATATCCGTCAGCTGCCAGTCTCTCTTTCCTTGTCTCAAAACTTTAATTTTTTCTTTCTCTTTTTTTCTTCATTCCGTTCGTTTTTCTTTTTTTACAGAACGTAAAAAATAGAATAAATAAATGTTAGTGGCAGCTAACAAAAAAACTAAATTGGCACAATTTTGGCATTATAAATATTCTTTTTTTCTCCCTTTTTTTCTCGTTTTTAATGTTTAGTTACTAAAAATGGAAATAATGTTTTTATTAGTTTTTAGCTTGGCAAACTGCTTTTAAATTTAGAATAAAAAGAATATTTATTTATTATTTATTTTTATATTTTTGCCAAAGCTTTACACATTTTAAGTAAGAATAAAAAATGTCCTTAACAACCGTTTTAACAACCAAATAAATTTAATAATTAATTTCATTTAAATATTTAATAAATATTTTTTTAATAAATATTTTTTGGAGTAAAACACAAATAATAAATATAAATATTTTTTATATTTTTTTGGATCTATTTTTGCTTTAATTATTTTTAGAAATTCTTTAGCATTTAGAATATTTTAGTTTAAAAAATTAAATTTAAAAATCTAAAAATAAACCTTCTATATTTATTTATTTTCTTTAATTAAATAAATCTGAGAATTTTTTTGATTTTTACATCTTAATTATTTTTTATTTTATTTCCTTTTTTTGACATTTTTATTTCATTTCCAGACTTTAATGAATTAATAAAAAATAGATATATATTATAAAGCTATCCATCTACTATATAGTGTCGACAAGCATTTTATATATATCCTAGAAAAATAAGCTAAAAATAGATTTAGACACACACACAGATGCTAGCTAAAGGCTATTGTTTTTTCCAAAAAATGTCGACTGTTTTTGAAAGATTATTTGCTAGCAATTTTCTGTCCATATTCTCTCCCTCTCTCCACCTCTCTTTTACTACTTTTCTTCTTTTAAGCTGCCGTTTCTTCATTGCTTTTTTGCTTCATCTAAATGGGAAACGAACAAAAAATTGTTTGCTATAAACTAGTGGCCAAAAATGAAAATAACTTGTATCTTTTTTAAGAATAAATTTAAAAAATACATTTATTTATTTTTTATTAAATAATCTCCAAAAAGAATTTTAAGATTTGAATTTATTTTAAGATTTCTAAATTTGTCACATTATTATTAAATCATCAATCGTACTCCTAAGAATACATAAATCTAGCCTTTTGATATTATTCAACTTTCAGAATAACAATAAACCCCTTCTTCTTTCATTTTAATTTGATATTTTTCCTCCTTTCTAGATTTTCTTTTTTAAATTTATTTTTAGTTTTTTATTTTTAAAGGGCATTCTCATTTGTCTATTTAAAATAATTTCTTAATTTATAGTCTCAAATAAGATGATGGAATAATGATTTAAATTATCATTCCCCCTTAATTTTATTTTTATTCCTTTGTACTTTTCCAAAATAAAATTAATGTTTATTTAAATAAACAATTGTTTATTTACTTTTATTTATTATTGTTTTTGGCCCTAAACCATATTTTTTAAATAATAAATAGTTTTTGAATTATTGATGTTCAAAGTACATCTCTATAATAATATTATTTAAATTTAATTTTAAAATAAAAAATATTTTTCTTTGTTAGATTCTTGCCAGTATATTTTTCCAATTAATGTTTTAAGTATTTTTTTCACAAAAATTGCCAACTCTGTTAATAACAAACTCCGTTGCGGATTCAATCCTTCCATACTCTCAAATTAATTTTTAAATTCTTTTTCAAAAATTATCTAAGGTTATTTAATAAAAATCATTTAACATTTTTCTTAAATATAAGGAAGTAAAAAGACATTGATGGACTCTTTATTTATTATCATTTTTTGCATAATACATGGAATACTTCCTTTAAAAATTTCCTTCATTTTTAACTATAAATTTTTCTAAAAAAAAGTTTTATGTCTAAATAATTATATTTTTATAATTTTATGACGGAACTAACTAAATCTAAATATAAAATTTTTTATTTAAAAAATTTATTACAGAGAACAACGCCCACCGATATTTATTTTGTTTATGTTTATGTTTAATTATAACAGACAGACATTTTTATGTAAACATAAATAAATACCCTTAAATCTATTTAAAGTAAGGGACAGTCAGTCCTCCTCTAAACAGTTTTAAAATTTATCTTCTAAATTACTTTTAAATAATTTTTATTTTTGATTCCTTTTTGTTTTTTTTTAATTTAAAATATGAAGAACTAAATAGGTAGTAAGTAGTTTTCATGTACTCCTTCCCTCTAATACTTCTTTTTTTTATTTCTAAATTTAGACTTTATTTTAGATAAATGAAAATGTACTTTTTTCTTTCCTCCTTCCTCATTCCTTTTTTTATTTTTTTTAACGTTCCACTTACCATTAGGTCTTCTTAACCCTCATATTTTTTCTTTTTCTATTTTCTGCCCTTCCACGTGCACTTTTATTTTTTTCGCGTGAATAGTTAAAAAAGAGTTTTTTATTTTTCTTTTTTCTCATTAACGGTCGTAGTCTTGACAATTTTCTCTTCTCTCATTCTTCTATTTTTTATCGTACATCTACTTAAATTGTCACGCATAAGTCTGAAAATAAAAAAAAATTAAAAAAAAAGATTAACAGAAACAGACAATTACAATCACTTATCTTTTAATATTTTATTTCGATTAAAAAAAATTTTTTTTGTTTTTAAAAAGTTTTACTTTTATTTTAATATGTCATTACTATTTTTTAAATTATTTTTAATCTTGATTTATGTATACCTTTTTATATTTTTTGTAGATAAAAAATATTTAAAAAAACAAAAGATAATTGTAAATCTGGCACTTTTAATGGTTTCATCTTATTCATCAATGAATTCCAACGGTTTTTTATTTGTACCATCACAAACAACTCCTTCAGGGACAGAAGCAACTTCTTCCCATTTTGGAATGTCCAAACAACAAAAATTAGGAAATCAACAAATTTCTCGTTCTCTTTTTGCATTAGAATTTCTTCCCCAGGGAGAGGATGAATTTTCTTATTGTGAAGATGGTGATGAGGATATATCTGATATTTCTAGTTGTTTTTTTAACGAAAAAGAAGATCATCAAAATCATTTTATTTCATTAGCACATCCTTCCATAAGGCTACACAAACATTGTAGAAACCAACATCATTCAGGATATTCCTCAAAATATGGAAGAGGAGCACCGCCTCATTGGTTTGGTCGTCCACCCTTAGTGCCTTTTAATTCGCCAAATCGGCAAACACCAAATTTTGATAAAGAACAAAATCATTCACAAAAATTTGACGAAGTAGAAGACTTGAATTCAAAAATAACAACAACAACTACATTACGTAGATCACCTGCTGCTTATTTTGTACAGCGAAGTGATAAATTGTGCCTTTCTCCCCCACTTATCTCAACACCTCCAAAATTAATTGAAACAACAGAAAATGTTCCTTATCCGCTCAGAAGGGTTTTTTCTGCTAATTCAACACAATCAGAAGCTGGAAAGTTTTTTAGAAATGAAGATAGAAAATGTAGCAATATTTTATGGAGCTTCGATTCCCCTCCAAGTGCTTCGACTTGTTCAACTCCTGGCACCCCATCCTCACCACAAAAATTGCATCAAAATAATTCTTTTATTTTGGCGGCATTGAATATTAAACAACATCAATTAAAAGAAGAAAATGAAGCAATTAATAATATTCAATTTTCTCCACAAATACACAAACCTACTAACAAATATCAAGAGAAAGAAGTAAAAGTTAATAAAATTATCGGTATAAATCAACAACAATCATTCGGAATGCACAACGGATTTCCTGTTTTGCCATGCTCACCTATGGCATCTCCAACAGGAGGATTAACTATGGGTACACCAATATTCAGAAATCAGTTAATAAAAAAAGAAAATCATCAAGAATGTTCTTCTAAACAAGATATTCAACAAAAACAGAAATTAGGAAATATTCAAAAAATATTTGAAAGGAAAATAACAATTAGAAGACATTTTTCTTTTTCTTCAATTAATTGTCCATCTTCAAAATTAAATCAACAAAAGACTCAAAATCATCATAAACTTTCTTGGCCCTTACTAAAAACGGATAATTCTGTTTTAAATTTAGAACGTAAAAGTTTTGCTCAAAAAGTCTTTGAAATGTTTAAACAAGCTGAATGGGCTGCTGAGGCAGCAACAACAACATTAGCTGGAAGTGTTCTTCCTCCTTTAAGAGAATTTAATTTAAGGGCAGAATTATTTTGGTTAAAATCAGCAATGAAGGAGTCTATGCATTCAATGTTTAGAATGCAGGTTATAATAAATAATTGAATATTTAATTTGTAAAAAAATTGTTGCAAAGAATATTTTTAAAAAGAAAATATTTAATAATTTAAAATTTAAAATATCCAATTTTTATTTTTTAGAATACAGCCTGTTTGGATGACTTTGATAGAATCAAAACATTAGGAACAGGGTCATTTGGTCGAGTAATGTTGGTAAAACATAAACAAAGTGGAACATATTTTGCTATGAAAATACTTGATAAACAAAAAGTTGTTAAACTAAAACAAGTAGAACATACATTAAATGAAAAACGAATACTTCAAGCAATTGATTTCCCTTTTCTCGTCAATATGCAATATTCTTTTAAAGTAAAAATAATTTTATTTTAAAAAATTTTATATTATCTACATAGGATAATTCAAATTTATATATGGTGCTTGAATTTGTAAGTGGTGGAGAAATGTTTTCACATTTACGTAGAATTGGACGTTTCTCGGAGCCTCATTCACGTTTTTATGCAGCCCAAATTGTTTTAGCTTTTGAATATTTACATTCTTTGGATTTGATATATAGAGATTTAAAACCAGAAAATTTGTTAATAGACAATAATGGATATTTGAAGATTACAGACTTTGGTTTTGCTAAACGGGTTAAAGGAAGAACTTGGACATTATGTGGTACTCCAGAATATTTAGCACCAGAAATTATTCTTTCTAAAGTAAAAAGAAGAAGAAGAAAATAAATTATTTAAAAATTAATTTTTAGGGTTATAATAAAGCTGTTGATTGGTGGGCATTAGGTGTTTTAATTTATGAAATGGCTGCTGGTTATCCACCATTTTTTGCTGATCAACCAATTCAAATTTATGAAAAAATTGTTTCTGGAAAAGTAAATTTAAATGTTAGTACAAACATTTAAATAAAACAATTTTTAAGGTTAAATTTCCCTCACATTTCTCAAATGAATTAAAAGATTTATTAAAAAATTTACTTCAAGTAGACCTTATAAAACGTTTTGGAAATTTAAAAAATGGTGTTGCTGATATTAAAAATCATAAATGGTTTGGATCTGTTGATTGGATTTCTATATACCAAAGAAAAGTTTGTTTTAAAATTACATACCTAATTGTTTTTTGATTTTTGTTTTCCCTTTTTATAAATTCTAATTTATATTAAGTGTTTTTTGTATTTTTGCTTTATTATAGCTTAATATTTTTTAATTTTATTTTTTTTCCGAATTAATTTATACAAACAAATCATTTTTCTCCTTTTAAATAATATTTGAAAATTTAATTTTAAACAAAAAATATTTTAACATTGTACATTCTCACCATTCAATATTACCAAAAAATCCTTTTTTAATTATTTAAGTAAACTAAACAAAAGACTTTTTTATAGGTTCAACCGCCAAGTTTTGCTTCAACTTGTTCTGCCAAAACTGCAAATCAAACAAAAATTCGTGGGGGTGGACGACTTTTTGAGGCTCTTTATCCAAAAATAACAGGACCTGCAGATACTAGACATTTTTCTGAACCTGTTGATGAATCTCTTTCTAAATTAATTATTAGGGAAGAGGATATTCATGCCGAAAAATTTGCTGATTTTTAAATGGTTATTTTTTTCTTGTTGGTGTTTTGTTTAAAATATTTTTAAAAAATTTTTTCCAATTTTCTCTAAATATTCATAAATTAATTTTTTATCAATTTTATTTTTTTTCACAGATTGAAACACCTTTTAAACCAAAGTGCCGCGGTCCAAATGATTCCAGCAACTTTGAAGAATATGATGAAATTTTATTAAACATATCTTCTATAAATAATTATTTTAATGAATTTGCTGGATTCTAGTCAATGAAATATATCCCAATATATTTTTGTAGATATATAAAATAAATTAATTTAGTATTTTTTGATCCCAGTTTTGTAATATATTTGATTTTGTAAAATAAATTATTTTTACTTTAATTTTTTTCTTTTCAAAAATAATTTCTGATAGGTAAATTTTGATGAATAAATATATATCTTATATAGTAAAGTAATTGTTATGTATATCTAGTATATCGTTTTAGTAAATATAAGATATTCCTTAATTGTATAAGAAGAAAACAAACAATTCCCTACATATTTCGATTCCTTTTTAAACTCCCATTTAAAACTTACGCGTATAAATCTGAAAAATTTCGGGATATAAAAATAAAATGTTTGCGTTCTAGCGAATAATTTTTATTTATTTATTATAATTTATTAATAATTTTATCCATGTATATATTAATATAGACATAAAATACGAAAGTAAACATCTTTAATTAAAGCTATAAAAATGTGACCCGGGGAAGAATGAAAACACAAATCTTTATGCCGAATCACTTGACATTACCGAATCAAAATAAAATATATAAAATGTGTAAACTACTTTAATAAAAAGATTAGAAAAATGAGAAAAGAAGGAAAATTAATTAAAAATATATTTTTATTCCGTATTTTTTGTAAATTTTGTTTTTTCAATCCAAATGGCTTAATTTAGAGATGTTTCTTATTTTAGATAAAACAGGTATGAATATACTCTATGCATCTAAAAATATAATTATAAGTGGTTGAATCTCTATAAAATACTTTTAAATAATTATTGAGGGTGCTGACAAACGTAAATGTGTGATCAAATGTAACCTAGAGGCCAAGGAAATTGTTTATTGTAAAAATTATTTTGAGATGCATGAATTGAACAAAATCCAAATACGGAATTTATATATAATTAAAAACAAATTTATTTAAAATTAATTATGTTACATCATATAAAAATTATAAAAATAATTCCGAATAAAATATACTTTAATTTCATTCTCGAATTTGAAATAATTTTTAAAGGAATGGTAATTAATATATTCAAAAAATAATTTTGATAATTTCAAGTATTTTTATTTATTACAAAATTAAATTAATTTGATGTAACATATTGTAGAATATAAACAATTAAATGAAAATTTAATTAAATTCTTCAAGTGTAAATAAAAAGCTAAAAACAAATTTATTTAAAATTTAAAAAAAAGAATTTGATCAATTAAAATTTAAATATAAAAGAAAATTATTTAAAATATAAAAATTAATCATTTGTATTTTTAAAGTTTTTGACTAGCAAATAAAACATATTAATTAATTTTTGAAAAAATAAAATTTTCTAAACTTTTTTTTAAAAAAATATTTTATTAAATTAATTAATTGTTAAAAATCAAAAGATAATTAAATTTTTAATTATTTACAAAAATATTATGATAATTATTATGCAAAATATAAAATTAAATAATACTAAAATTAAAAATAAGGAGTTTTTGAGAAATATTAATTTAAATAATTATTCTTTTAAATTTTTTCAAAAAAATGGTAAATCCATCTCGCTATCCACCTGTGTCCGCAAAAGGATCGCACTTTTCTCCTTACTTTTCTTCTTGCATTTCTGCTTGAGGGGTAATTAATTCCTAGGCAAAACTTTATGATTAATTATAAGTGATCAAAAAAATATTTGCCTTTTGATCACACGAAAAATAAATAACTATATAATTATTAAGTTAGTTTTAATTGTTTTCTCTCTTTCATTCCAAGTGCCAAAAGGCATTTAATGGTGAAGAAAAGAAAATCAGCGAGAGCGCCACCATTCATAAATGCAAGAAAACGAAGGAAAAATGAGCATTTGCTTTGCGGACAAGTGAATAGCGAATTGGGCTTTACCAAAAAATTTTTTAATTAATTTTATAAACAATTAATTAACACATAATAAGTATTAAAGTTAGTAGCACAATTTAAACGGGAGGATTTTCATGAATAGAATTTGTGTTAAAGAGTATATGAATACAAATTGTATTTACTAAAATATATATTTCTTTAAAATTATTCACTCGCTTACATTTTTGCATTGACATTTTGCGAGAAATATGTGGAAGGGCAGCATGAATGCCATCGTCAGGCGGAGGCAAGGGAGTGGGAACGGTGAACAAATTGTAAAATTGAGTTGTAATTGAGGAGGAAAATATATATGGAAGAAATTAAATGACTAGAATTCGGCGAACTCTTTTGCACATTTTTCAGTACCAGAGATGCGTAATGGCTCTTCTTCATAATCATCAAAATTGCTCGAATCGCCCGGGCCACGACACTTAGGCAGGAAGGGAGCTTCAATCTGTATTTTTAGAAAATATATACTAATAATTTAATTTATTTAAATTAAAAATTAGAAAATAATTATTTATTTAAATTTTTTATTAAAATATTACATGTAAATTTTATTAAAAAGTCGGCAAACTTGTCACATTTTTGGAAAAAATACTTTCCAAGAATGTAATTAAATATACCGACCTCTAATTTAAAAAAAATTAGTTAAAAGGACTAGACATTTAAACTAAACAAAAAATAGAAAGGAAAGCTATAGTTAAAGTATTTGAGCAAAAAAATAAAAACAAAAAATGTTAATTTAATAATTTCAAAAATCAACAAATTTATCAAAATGTATATCCTCATCACGAATAATTATTTGAGAAAGGGATTCGTCTATAGCCTCCAAAAAATGCCGAGTATCGGCTGGTCCTGTTATTTTTGGATAAAGAGCTTCAAAAAGTTTGTCATTGCAATGTGAAGTTGGATTTCTTGCAGAACACGCAGAAGAAAAGCTCTGAGGTTGCTCCTAAAAAGTTAGTGAGTGCTTGTCTAAGTGCTTCTATTTTAGACATCTTTTTGGATTAAATATGAGGAAATAAATGTTAGGAAAAAGAAATCTTGTCAATTATGTCATAAATACATAGAAAAATTGTAACACAGTCCCTCCCTCTCCTACATTCAACATAAAATAATAAAGGAAAATAAAAATAATTTTAAAAGATTATCACAAAATTGACAAGAATGAAACCAAAAAATGTTAGTAAACACAAAAGAAATTTTAAAGAAAATAACCAAGGCACAGAACACAAAAACTTTAAAAAACCCAATCGTGAAATGGAAAATTGAAGAAAAAATTTTGTTTTGATTTTAAGAAATTAATTGAAGATATTTTTAATTAGAACTTTTAATTAAATAGCAGACAAACTTTTCTTTGGTATATAGAAATCCAATCAACAGATCCATACCATTTATGATTTTTAATATCAGCAACACCATTTTTTAAATTTCCAAAACGTTTTATAAGGTCTACTTGAAGTAAATTTTTTAATAAATCTTTTAATTCATTTGAGAAATGTGAGGGAAATTTAACCTTAAAAATTATTTAAATGTTTGTACTGACATTAAATTTACTTTTCCAGAAACAATTTTTTCATAAATTTGAATTGGTTGATCAGCAAAAAATGGTGGATAACCAGCAGCCATTTCATAAATTAAAACACCTAATGCCCACCAATCAACAGCTTTATTATAACCCTAAAAATTAATCTTTTTTAATTTTCTTCTTCTTCTTTTTACTTTTGAAAGAATAATTTCTGGTGCTAAATATTCTGGAGTACCACATAATGTCCAAGTTCTTCCTTTAACCCGTTTAGCAAAACCAAAGTCTGTAATCTTCAAATATCCATTATTGTCTATTAACAAATTTTCTGGTTTTAAATCTCTATATATCAAATCCAAAGAATGTAAATATTCAAAAGCTAAAACAATTTGGGCTGCATAAAAACGTGAATGAGGCTCCGAGAAACGTCCAATTCTACGTAAATGTGAAAACATCTCTCCACCACTTACAAATTCAAGCACCATATATAAATTTGAATTATCCTATGTAGATAATATTAAATTTTTTAAAAATAAAATTATTTTTACTTTAAAAGAATATTGCATATTGACGAGAAAAGGGAAATCAATTGCTTGAAGTATTCGTTTTTCATTTAATGTATGTTCTACTTGTTTTAGTTTAACAACTTTTTGTTTATCAAGTATTTTCATAGCAAAATATGTTCCACTTTGTTTATGTTTCACCAACATTACTCGACCAAATGACCCTGTTCCCAATGTTTTGATTCTATCAAAGTCATCCAAACAGGCTGTATTCTAAAAAATAAAAATTGGATATTTTAAATTTTAAATTATTAAATATTTTTTTAAAAAAATATTCTTTGCAACAATTTTTTACAAAAAATATACATAAATTCAATTATTTATTATAACCTGCATTCTAAACATTGAATGCATAGACTCCTTCATTGCTGATTTTAACCAAAATAATTCTGCCCTTAAATTAAATTCTCTTAAAGGAGGAATAACACTTCCTGCTAATGTTGTTGTTGCTGCAGTTGTTGCTATATTAGTAGATGCTGCAGCAGCCCAAGCAGCTTGTTTAAACAATTCAAAAACTTTTTGTGCAAAACTACTTCTTTCCATTGTAGAAACAACACTATTTTCATTTTGAAGGTAAGGCCAAGACATTTGTTGGGGTGATTTTCGGTTAACTGTTGGAAGTAATTTAAATGAGGAAAAAGAAGAGGAGAAATGATGACGAATAGATGGTTTTGTTAATTTTGTCATTTCCTTTGTAAAATTATTTTGATGTTTTTCTTTGTTTTGTTGATCAAAATTTGATGAAAAAATATTTTGAATTGGTCTGTTTGAGGGAACAGAATTTTGAAGTAAACAAGGAGAAACAGGAAAAACATTATTATTTGTGCTAAAAACAGGAGACGAATAGAATTGAGGTTTTTTGTTATTCGCTACAAAATTATGTTCTTGCTGAAGTTTTTGTGGGTTGATAAATATTTGTTGTTTGAATTGATTATTAATTCTTTTATCTTCAATTATATTATTTAAGGCATATTTGGGAGTAATTAAAGGTGAACTCCAAATAATGTTATTTTTGTTACAATTGTTTTGCTGTCTTCCTAGTGATTTTGGGGAATTTGCAGAATAAACTCTTCGTAGGGGAAATGGAGCCTTCTCTACAATTGGCGGTGGGGAATGTTTGTTGTTTCCAATATATTCCTTTTTTATTTATTTATTTTATTTATTTATTTACACCACTAGGGTGTGACAGTCAAAAATAAAACAATTTAAAGTGAAATTACGAAAAATAAAAATGCTAATAAAAAATGTCCTTAAAATAAAAATCAAAGCAGCTTAGCAAATAAAATTATCTCATTTGTCATTTAAGATATTGGAAATATCCAACTGTTCAAGAAGTTTAGAAAACATTTTGGGTGTATTTTTTTTAATTTCTATAGGAATTAGTGAATAAATTCTAGCAGTTCGAACAAAAAAGGAGTTGTACCGAATCATGGTTGAACAACGTGTTGGTTGTATTTTATATTTTTCGCCCCTAGTTTTTGTTTGTTTTATGATATAGGAATTATTATGGTTAATTTTAATTTTCCCAAATATATTTTGATGAAATAGCTTTAAATCAGCTTTAAGTCTTCGACTTTCAAGGGATTCTACTTTGAAATGTTGTAAAAGTGTTTTGTATGGTGGAATATCTTCTATTTTTACCTTTGTGATTCTTTTGTAAACAAATCTTAAATATCGTTTTTGTATGTTTTCTATTAATTTAATGTTTTTCTTAGTTAAAGAATTCCAAACCGGTGACCCAAATTCTATAATTGACCTTACGTATATATTAAATGCTTCTATAAGAATTTTAGGATCTTGTGATTTTAGAGATTTAATTAATGCATAGCAGTTTCTATTGGCCCTTAGAGATATTGTTTGAATATGTTTATTAAACTTGAATTTAGAAGTGAAGAAAATTCCGAGATCCCTATTCTTGTCTTCATTACTAATTTGGAATATTTTGTGGTTTCCTATTGAGTATTGTAATTTAGGGTTTGATTTACCTATATATAATACTGAGCATTTATTTAATGATATGTTGAGACCATTGGTGTTACAATATTGAATGAATTTATTAATAAATAATTGTAAAGAATTGTTAGATAAATCGGTTTTTTTTAGAATTTGATAGGCTTTGATGTCATCGGCAAATAATTTTATTTTTATTTCAGGAGTGTAACAGAATGTTGGTAAGTCCGATAAGTATATATTAAAAAGGAGCGGGCCTAAGATAGATCCTTGCGGAACTCCACTAGTAATAGAGAATTGTTCAGAATATTCATTTCCTATTTTAACAACAGATTTTCTGTTGTGTAAGTAATTAGAGATCCATTTTAAGAGTGATTTTTCAATTCCTATTACTTTTAGTTTTGTTAAAAGACGTTCATGGGGTATAGAATCAAAGGCTTTAGCTAGATCGAAATAAACTATGTTTATTAAATTTTTATTATCCAATGCAAATGATATATCATCTTGAACCTCAATTAGTTGGGTAGTGACGGATTTGTTTGGTCTGAATCCATGTTGACAATCTGGTAATATACCATTTTGTTCAACATAAATTGATATATGGTTTGCAATAATTTGTTCAATTACTTTTGTGATTGAACATAGTAATGAAATTGGGCGAAATTCTTCTATTTTGGGTATCTTTAATGTTTTTGGTATTGGTATTATTATACTTTGCTTCCATATTTCAGGAAGTGTTGAAGTCATTAATGAATAAGAAAAAATATAATATAAAGGATAATAAAGACTTTTAGCGCATTTTTTAAGGAATATACATGGTATTGAGTCATAAGAAGAGTTAGTTTTTTCAGGTAGCTTAGAAAGAAGATCAAAGATTTGAAGTTCATTTATGATTACGGATTGACATGTATTTTGATTTGTTATAGAGTTTAGATCTGCATTGTCTAATGAATTTTTATTAAATACAGAACTAAATTGGGTACTTAGAATTTGTGCTATTTTATTATCAGCGTATACTAATTGATTATTTTTATCCAAAATTGAAGTTATTTTCCTGTTTTTGGATTTAAGAAATGAAGAGATGTATGAGAATTTTTGACTGATAGTTTGTGTTTTATGCTTTTCTCTATTTTTTAAAAATTTGTTAGTTTCAGAATCTATTCTTTTTGATACATATGAGATTTTACGTGTTAGCTCTGGCGTGGATTTTTGTTTCCACAGATTTTTTAGATATAATGTCATTTTTTCAATGTGTTCGGGTTTTTTGAGATTGTTAGATTTTACTTTAGATTCGGGAACAAAGGAACAAATAACATTATGTATAATCGATTGGAAAGTGAAATATAGTTGATTTATATCAGAGCATTGTGTGAATACTAGATTCCAGTTTATTGTTGAGAAATGTGCATTAATTATTTCATAGTTAGCATAGTTAGCTTTTTTCATGTGCATTAATTATTCATTGAAGTGATTTTGTTGCTGATTTGTGTGGTTATAGAATTGTGGTTGTTGTTGTTGTTGATTAAATGAATTAAAAGGCATCACAGGTAAACGACCAAACCAATGAGAAGGAGCACCAAAATTTGTCAAATACTCGCCGTTTGGATTAGAAACTTGAGAATGTTCTTTATGAAAATGAAGATTTTGGACATTTCCTTGTGACAAATTATCAATTTTTTTAGTAGACCACCGATCTAAATGAACTTGTCCTCGAACAAAACAATTGTTATTTTCATCTGAATAATTATTGTAGTATGGCATTTGTTGAGTTTTTTGTGGCATGAATAATGGGGAAGTTGTAACCATTTATTAGAAATTTAGAATTTTTTTAAACAAAATATCTAAAATTTGTCAAATATTCACTGTTTGGATTAGAAAAGATTGCTCGTTTTATAATTGATATATATATAAATACAAAATATTCAAAGATGAGTTGTGGCAAGGTCGAGATTGCAAAATTGGTCGGGATGGGATTTATAGATTAAGTAAATCTTATCCAATATGAAAGATTTCCAGTAAATTCCATGCAACGGTTATTTAATATAACCAAAATTTTCGTCATCATGGGTAAATTTAATCCAGACTCCGAGTCAGAGTTGGGTGTTTGGGATCGGGGTTTCTGATTTTGAAAAATAGGAGGAAAATATCTAAAATTTGTCCAAATAATGATAAAAAATGTCAGAAGGGTTTGAGTTGCACATCTCATAGTCCAAACAAAAAAGGTTAAAGAATATTTTTCAATAAAAAAACAAAACTATCATTTTGTTTTCAAAAGCCAATAAATATTTTTAAATAAAAAAATAACAACTACTAATTTAGGTATTTGCAGAAAATGAATATTCCCCATTTAATATTTCCATAAATAGAAACGATTTTATGCGAAAATTAAAAAATGTTGGTGAAAAAATGGTTGGAAAATAAAAATAGAGCATGTGCATTTTTAGTTATGGGAAACGTTTTTTAAATGTTTTGCCGCATTTTCTAAATTTAGAGCATTAAAGAAAGAAAAAATGTAAGAAAATTAAAGAGAAAATATGCAAAAATAGCATCTTAGAATGGCAAAATATACTAAATGGTTTTTAAACATTAAAATGATTTTCTAAATAATAAAATAGGTAATATTTTAGAAAAATAAAGACAAAATTATGTCTTTTAAAAAAATAAATTTTTATTTAATTCTCGACAAAAAAATTATTAAAAATAATTTCAAAGTGTAAATCCAATTTTCTTTTTTTCTAAAAATTTCTATTTTTTCACTATTTTAGGAAGTAAAATAAAATTTTCAAAAAATTTTTTTAGAAAATTGTTATTAGAAACATTAGAAAAGTAAAGGAAATAAATAATCGAGAAGAAGAAAATCCAGAAATGTAAAAGCAATTGCTGAACAAACTTTGATTGCATCTTATTTATTTAAAAAACAAAAATATATTTAGGAAAAAGTTTTTGTTTAGAATATTTATATGATAATGAGAATTAAAAACAAAAATATTTTTATCTCTAAATATTCATTAAAAATGTCAAATAAATAAAATTAAAATTACGTACTATTATTTTCTAAATAGAAAAAATATTAAATTTAAAAATTCTCTTTTATGTACTCCTCTCAAATGCACTTAAATTGTACTGTTAAAAAATAGAATTTTTCCGAAATATTTTAGTGAGTAAACAGAAATCTAAAAAATCTTTATGAAAATTTACAAAAAAGTATTTAAAATATTTAAAAGTATTTTTTGTGAGGAGTTGATAATTAATAATAATACAAAATAATGATAGAAACATTAAAAGTAGATAAAAAAACTTAAATAAATTTAAAATTACCTAAATTCTCAATATTCAAAAAAAATTATTTAAGATAAATTTCTTAAAATTGAAAATGAGAGTAATTTTGTTGGAATTAAATAATCAAAAAATTTGTCTTTAGTCTTTGCTGCGCTTTGACTTTTGCTTCTAAACATTCTTTTTAAATATTTTTTTATCAAGAATGTTAAAGAAATGAATTAATGATCGTAATAATATTTTATATATAAATGCAGAAAATTGGAAAAAAAGTTTATAAAAAGTGCTCTTCGCTCTCCTAAATGTATAATTAAATAATCAAAAAATATATATATAAATAAATTAATTAAATATATTTTTTAAAAGACAACGTGTTTAATAGGCAAAATGATATATAAAAGGAAATGGTTGGAGTACTATATAGCGACGTTTTTTGATTAAAAATTCTTTGATTGAGAAATAAAAAAGTGGTTGTGATTTTGCTTGTAGACTACAAAGTTTTGACAAAAAGAATATATAATTTGGTTATTTACATAAATAAATATAAATTATTTTTAGAAATATATATTTAGATAAATTTTGACCATATTGTAATAACGGGTGCATCAATGGGAGACCGCTAAAAAGGGAAATTGACCCAAGTAGGTTGATAAATATGTATTTTTTATTTAAACAATTATTTTCATGTAGACTTCGAAATAGTTACCTATAGACAAAATGATTAAATGAATGAAAAAATATATTTATTGATAAATTAAAGTTTAAAATTTGGTTTTATTTAGTCTTTACTCAAAACAAATATTTTCATTAAAAAATTTGTATTAAATCAATTTTATCAAAAAAGTTTATAAAAATTAAAAATATAGCTTTTGATCTTTTGTAAAAAAATATTAAAATTAAGAAATGTTCAATATTTATTTGTGTGACGTAGCTAAGTGAAAAAATAATAATAAATTATTAAAGAAAAAAATGAAGGAATCCCTTGCGCGAATAAATACATAAATTTTATTTTCAAGATTTTAACATTAAATTATAGTAATGCTGAATATTTATTATTAATTTTATTGGTAATTTGCAAGATTAATGAATGAAAAATAAAATAAAAATTAATAAATATATACATAAACGTATTGCTATTTTAGTATAAAAAATAATTTAATTATTTTTAATAAATAATATTACAAATAAAAAATAATTTTTATTTAATGAATTAAGAAGAAAAGCAAAAAATAAATTTCTGATAATTTAAAGAATAGTATACTAAATATAAATAGATATAAAAATTTAAAAAAATTTTTTTTGCAAATGAAGACAAAAATAGAAAGGAATTTGTTATCGGAAATATAAAAGGAATGATTCAGCAAACTCCAAAAAATCGCTAATATAATTTTAAAAAAAGAGGGCATGTGTAGCAGATGAGCGATTAGAAAAAAATCAAAATATATTTTTAAAAAAATAAATAAAATGAAAAGAAAAGAAAAATAACTAAACAAATTAAAGATGTACATAGTAGATAAGATAGCTTAAATAAAAAATAAAAATATATTTTTCTATTTTTGGAAAGCAATCTTATATTAAATGAATAGAAAAGAAAAGTAAAATTAATAATAAATAAATATTTTTTAGCAAAAATGCAATGATCGCAGTTTGTTAATGATTGTCAGTAAAAATAAATATATAAATATTTATAAACTAAAAGTAAACTGGTTGAGAAATTATTTTTGTAATAAAGTAATAAAAAATAGTTTGTTAAAGAGAAAAAAAATATTTTTAAATGATTGAATATTAGTATTTTAATAAAAAAATAAAACATTTTATTTTTGATTTCAAAAACTGATTTTATAAAATAATAAATTAGAGAATCTTTAGAAGTAAAAAATAAATTTAGAAAAAGGTTTAGAGTAATCTCAGAAACGTCGTGTCCTGCGTTAATTTATATTTAAATTTGGTCTAAATAAAAAATTTCTTAATAGACTTCCAAAATTCTCAAAATTTTCGCCTGCGGATGTAAAAGGAGGAAGGTCTGATCTGAATATCAATATTCTGCAAGTATTTAGCGGCTCCGAACTCCGATTTGGATTCACTACCTGGAATTTACTAACCCAGAGTTAGCTCTTAAAATGTACATTTAAGTGTGCAATTTTTTCTTTGACAATTTAAAAAAAAATCATAAATTTGTCAAAATTAGATTAAAATTTAAGATTTAAAATGTGTATTTATTTGCCTTTTTTTATTTTTGTGTTTTCAAATTTTTATTATTTGACATTAAAAAGAACAATAAGAAATAAAAATAAAAACGAATAACAATATGTACATTTAAAATTTTGTTAAAAATTAGGGAGAAGAAAAGCATGTGAATATATAAAAAAAGATATTAAAATAAAAAAAATAAAATAAATCCTCAAAAAGTAAACAAATTCTTCTAAAATATTGCCAAAACATCTTTAAAAATTATATTTATAGTTTGTGAAAAATAAATTTTGTTTAAATATAAAAAAATAAAAAACTTCCTTAATAAAATTAGATATAAATTCTAAAAATTAGATATAAAAAAGTAAATATTAAAATGTATGCTGATGATGTTAAATTATATATAATTCATAATAATGATATCTGTAGAAATAAATTATCAGAAAGTCTCAATCTTATACAATCTTGGTCAAAAAACAATGGAATGAAAATTTCAATTAATAAATGCTTTTGTCTTTACCTTGGTAAAGACAATAATGAATACCAATATTACCTAGATGATCAACCAATTAAAAAAGAACAGAGTATACGTGACTTAGGAGTTATTATTGATAAAAATTTATCATTTTCTAATCAAATAGATAAAATAACCAAACAAGGATATTTTTTAACACATCAAATATTCCGCACTTTTAAATTACGAAATCTTGACACTTTAATTTTCATATATAAAACATATTTACGTCCTTTATTAGAATATGCTACAGAAATATGGAATCCTATGAGAAAAGATCAAATAAAAACTCTTGAAAAAATCCAAAAATTATACACTAAAAAAGCATTTTATAAATGTGGACTTGTGCAGAAATCATATGAAGATAGACTAAAAATTTGCAAACTAAAAAAACTCGAAGAAAGAAGAATTCTTACAGACCTTTGTATGACACATAAAATTCTTAAAAATTACACTCATTTGGAACCAGAAAAATATTTTACTTTAACCAAACGGGCAAAAAGAAGGGCTTTACTTTTACAAAATAGACCCTTTTCAAAAAAATCAAAAAATAACTTTTTTACCCGAATAATATCATTATGGAACAAACTACCAAAAGAAATAGTTGAAATTAATAATTTAAAAAAATTCAGGGAATATACAAAAGAAATAGATTTACTAAGACTGTCTGGAGTGGAGTAAATAAAATAAATTTTTTTATATTATTTTTTAATTTTCCATTTTTTTATGTTTTAATTTACCTAGTTATTTTTATTATTGACATTTTTATTTTTTTTTATCACATTAGTGTACAAATATGTACCTGTGATTGTCTTATAAATAAATAAATAAATAAATAAATAAATGTAAACAAGAATGAAGAAAAAAAAACAAAAAAAGGCTTTCCTTATTTTTTTATAAATGTGGCAGAAAAATGGGGAGGGAACACAAAAATACCAAACTAAGTTAAAATAAAAAATATAAAATGATTAAGATTTTATGTAAAGCATATCAAAAAGAAAATTTTGAAAATTTCTAATAGAAAAGTGCCCAAAATTTTAAAAATATTTAAAATATTTTTATAAAAATATTAATGAAAAAAAGTTTAAAAATTTAATAATAATCTAAACTAATTGTTGCAAAGAAAAAATGTATATAAATTATTCTTTTTTTCAAAAAAAATTAACCCACCGATGCAGGATTGTCCCATTTCTGTTTAAAATCGTCTTTGGCTTTGTCCAGGAATTCTTTAACTAAAAAAAGAAAAATAAATATTTAAATAATTTAATTAAAAATATAATTTGTAAATAATCCCTTTATTAAGACTACCTACTACATTCTTTTTTCATTAATATATTTTTATTAAGTTTAACTTTTTTTTTGAATTTTGTTCTTACAGAATTTCACTTGTTGCTTCTTATTTATTGTTTGGGTCATTTATTTAGTAAAGGTCTGATTATGAAGAAAACAGATCACATTACCCAAATATTTTTAAAGGAAATAATTGGTGGAAGAAAATAGAAAAAAGAATTTTATTTAAATATATACATATTTAAAGATTGTAAAGAAAATTAGAAAATCGAGAAAAGGGAAAACTAATTTTCAAATAATTTATAAAAAATTTTTTTTGATTTTTTCTAGATTAGCACTGTTGTTTATTTGCCGTTTTTGAAATTAAAAATAAGATAAAGAGTGCACATAAGAATTTCTGTTTTGGCACAGTCAGATGCTTTAAGTTAGATGTGTATGTATGTATTATATAAAGATTGAAGTATACATACAAATAAGTGTGAAGAAAAGTTTTTTTATTTTGCTCGGCCGGGGTAATAATGTAGATAATATAAATACGTAAAAAATCTTGACGCTTTCGTTTGGCTGATGCCAAACAAAAAATCGTAGCTATTTGGCACTTTTATTTCCCTTTTCTCTTTCTTTTCTTTGAATATATTTCAATTTAAACAAAGTACATTGGCCGGGAATGCCATATAAAACTTCAGAAATATACTAAAGCTTTTTAGGTCGATAATAAAATACATAGTATATATACACATATATATTTATAACAACTATGTCCAATTCTAAAAAGCTTCCTTCTCTCGAGAATTATTTCACTAAATATTTTCAAAATTTTCTCTAACCCTTTTGTTTAATTTGCTTATATTAGCTATTTTTTATTTAACAATCCTTATATGCTAAGCACATATACTTCTTTTATAAATTGAATTGAATGTGTGCCATTGGGACTAATTTTGTTTTTTTCTTTATGTCGCTGCCGACATTTCCGCTTCGTTTCAGCCTAAGCAACAATCAAAAGATTTTTAGTTTATTAGTAAAAGGCTGTTAACTTAATCCTGTCTATACTCATTTTTCTTTCAAAAAAAATTTAAGCGGAATTGTCGAACACAAATAGATGGTAATATAATAATTAAAGTAGAAAAATTATTCAAAAATACATAGGGAATTAAATAGGAAAAACAGATTTATATATCTTTTTGATAAAAATTACTTAATTTTAATACACGTACTAAATATTTCTCAGATATCCTGATCTGGAACCGAGATCCTAACCAAAATTTTGGATATCCGGTTCAGAAAGGAAATTTTTATTAAGGGAGTTGAAAGAATTATATGTTGAAAGAACAATCTTAAGCGTTGAGGCGTAACTTCTTGAATTTTTGAGGGCCAAGATTTATCCTATGATATCCTTCAACACCATTTATATCCCCGATATCCGTCCAAATCCCATTATATCCACTAATTTTAGAAGGTCGGAAGACAGATTTCTTCCTTTTTCAGCGCCACAGGCGAAAATTTTGGAGATTTTTGATTTTTTTCAAAAATCAAAAACTTAGTATATGTAAACTTAATATATGTAATTTCTAAATTAGCTGAATGAAAAGCTAGAATATAGCAGAAAAAAATAAAAAAAATAAAAGGTGAAATTAATTTAAAAATGAGAGAAAATGGAAATTTGAAATGAAAAAATAAAAATAGATTTTGTGTGTGAATAATGAAATTAAATGACAAACATTTTTTGCTTTTTCTTTATTTAAAAATTCATTGAACTAATACTATTGATTCGTTTGTTAGAAAAAAAAATTTTAAAAATCAAAATTAAAAAACAATTTAAAAAAAGTAAATTTTTAATACTAACAAAATGGAGCTTCTGCTGTTGAATTTATGAATGGATCTGAATTTTGGTTTTGTTCTCCCAAAAAAATACCCGAAACATAATCCTCATCTTCTTCCTCTTCGTTATCTTCCGCTCTTTGAGCAATAGGTATTCCATTAATTGAATTTATTTTTGTATTTGGCCGTCCAATAATTTCTTCTTCGTCTACAACTGATTCAGCAATTACTGGGATATTTGTTGGAAGTTGCTGTTGATTTTTGTTTTTTTTATTTTGAATTGTAGGAGAAGAATCAGAAAATTCTTTAGACTCCTCCATCCATAGAATATAAATACTGATAGAATTACTTTAATATAAAGAGTGACAATGGCTAAAGTTTAAAATATTTTTGTTTAGATAATTTTATATTTATAATAAATAATTATTAAAAATTAAAAAAATATTTTTAGTATTAAATATAAATTTAGAAATGATTAGATTTAAATTTATTTTAAATGTTTTTAAGTAAAAAAGAAAAAGAAAATTCTTTTATCAGTTAATATTTAGATTGATAAAATAGTAGAAAAGTACTTTTTTTAGTTATTAAAAAATTGATAATTTTTTATATTTAGACAAAACTTTTAACTGCTTTAAGAATTAAATGAAAAATAAAATTTAAAGAGAAGAGCTATTAGAAATGAAGTTGACGTAAATGGATTTATTTTAAGTATTTAGATATATAAGCTAAAAGATTTTATTGATATGTATTTATATATTTTTAATAATAAATAATAAAAATTCGTTTTTAATTTTTGGTTTGTTGTTAATATTTGTAAAATGCTATTATTAACCAAAATAAATATTTAATTGCAAATAATGAAACAATAAAATAAAATAAACATACAAATTAATAGAAAGAAAAATTTTAAATTATTATTTTTATCAAAAGATGTAAAAATTTGGAATTTTTAAAAAATAGTTGATGAGATATTTCAATAAAATTATAAAGTAATGTAGAATATATCGGAGGTTGATTAAAATTCTCGGACTATTCCCATTTAAGAAGTTCCAGTTGTTGTATAAATGAAAAAGCTGTATGTAAATTTTTATTAAGGTTATATATATATCTTATTATATATATCTTCCTTGGCAAAATTAAGACAAGAGCTATCTTTTATCAAAATTTATGAGTTTACATTTTTTAACATTAAGATCTGCCAAATCGGATAACGATGAAAGGAGTTACATAACAATTTATACCGGTCTTAAGTAAATTTCCGTCACTATACGTATACTTAAAAATATAAGAGGGCCTTTAAGCCTGATTTAAAAAGGTAAATTCACTCGTGGTATCAGCCATAAATAATGGTTTTATCTTTCTTGTTTCATTTCTATACTTTTTAATTTATTTTATCAACTTTAATTCTTAAAAAAAGTTTGTTATTCAGCATACTAAATATCCCTGAGTAATTTAAAGCAAAATATAGAATTTAGTAGATATTATTAAAAAATACAACAAAAAATATTTTGAACTTTATAAATATAATCTAATGTTTGTCAAGTAAAATAATAAAACTAACAAAAAATAAAAACTAAATTGTAGGTAAAATCACGTGGAATTGATTGTTACTACAAACATATTATTATTCCCGTCAGTTAGAAAATAAAAATTAAGTAGGTAAATTAAATAGTTATTATAAATAGTTGATAGTCGAGTTCATTTACTGATTAAATGGCTCGAGAGAGAGGGGGAGAGAGAGAAAAAATGAGGAAAGGACTAGTATTTAGTTGATAAAGGGAAATATGGTTTAGCATTTTTTTAATTGTTGGGACGAATGATTGACTATTTTGGTATATTTGGAAAGGTATACATGAATAGAAAAAATTTAAGTAACGCTATAATATTCTAGTTGAGGAGATAAAAAAGCCAAAAAATAAGGTGACTATTCGAAATAAAAAAATCTTAGAATATTTCTCAAAATTTTTGAGATCTAAAGAAAAATAACTTCGAAAATAAAAAAATGGTAAACTGCTGAAATAATTACCCTGAGTAATCATTGTTACAATCTCTCGTTAGAGGAGGGTAATTATTAGTGTTCGGCACGGTTCGGTACTCCCGCGGTACTCCCGAAAGTACCGAATCGGGATTTTTCGGTACTCCCGGAACCGGAACCGTCCCGATGAGATTTTGGAAAATTTCGGTACCACTCGGTACCGGTACTTTTCGGTACTCCCGGTACCGGAACCGTCCCGAACAAGGTTCCAGTACCGCGGTACTCCCGAATTTTCGGTACCGGAGAAATTTGAAGAAAAAATGTAAAATATTGCTAGTAAAATAATAAATATTGTAAAAATTTCCAAAAAAATCTCCCTTCAAATCTTCGGCCCTATCGCAAATGAGGTGCGTAATCATATTTTTCTCCTTCCTTCCTCAAGTTAAAAATGGGGAACTTTTTCCTTAGCTTTTAATGTATGCTGATTTCGCCGTAAGGAAAAATGATGCAAAAGGATTAATTTTTTACATTTTGTTTTTTGTTCATGTTTTGACTGACCGTGTTTTGACAGTCAAAACAGGAACAATTTTGACTGAAAAACAGTCAGAACACGACTGAAACTCACTGAAAAACCGTTTTGACTGAAAAACAGTCAAAACACGGACAGTTTTGAGACACGGTCAGTCAAAACACGGGTAGAAAAGAAAATGAAAAAAATTAATCCTCTTACATTATTTCTCCTTACTAAGGAAAAATACTGAGGAAAAAGTTCCCCATTTTTAACTTGAGGAAGGAAGGAGAAAAAATATGATTACGCACCTCATTTGCGATAGAGCCAAATCTTCTGCCATTACTAAAATCTCCTTTTATATCCGATTTAAGTGTTGATGGATTTAAGGGTTGACCCTTTGACCTAAATCCTGAAGACTTACACAATGAAGTTCTAGATTAATCAGGGGATCTGAAGGAAATAAAGGGGATAATGAGGGATTTGACGACATTAAGGAGGATATCGGTGGATTTGGAGAGGTTAAATGGGATATCTTGATGGATAACGGGGATATGAGAAGATTTGAAGTGATGTAAGGTAATTTGAGTTGCGGGGATATCAAAAATTTGATGAGATATAACTGGGATAAAGACCATTTGCCGTATACTACTTAATGATGGCAGATATTCATAATCTAATTCACCGATATCCCCTATAGTCTTTCATCCTCTAGATCCTCTAAATCCTTCGATATATCTTCATATCCCTTGATATCTTATACGTCCCTCGATATATCTTCAAATCCCTTGATATCTTATACGTTATCCTTCCAACGTTATACTTCCAAATTTAACTATATCCCGCTTAATCGATGATAATCCCACGACATCCCTCAAATCCCTTAACTAGATTAATGTTACAAAGTATACTTATCTTATAAACTTAGATCTGAAAATTTTTCATTGATCTAATTTAATGAGATAAAGTTTAAATAGTGATATTTGTGATATTATTTCATTTTTTTGTCAGTACCGAAATACTGCGGTACTCCCGAAAATTTTTCTTCGGTACTTTTCGGTATCGGGATTTTTCGGTACTCCCGGTACCGGAACCGTCCCGAAGAAATTTTGGAATTTTCGGTACTCGTTCGGTACCGGTACTTTTCGGTACTCCCGGTACCGGTACCGAAAAAATCCATTTGCCGAACACTAGTAATTATTAGGGAGGATGTGTTGAATTTAGGGTATATCTCAATCTAATTGAGTCGAAATTGTTTTATTTCTTGATATTGAGTCCTAAAATGTTCCAATAATTAAATTTGATAATCTTCTTTAAATATTTTTAAAGTTTGCGTAAAATAATTAAGAGGGAGGGTTAATTATTAGATAATTATAGGTAATAGAGATAAGGGTCAATAGTGGATGGATGTGTTTAGATTTTGGATGTGTGGTTTAGAATTAAATTAAGTAATAATAATCATTAAAAGATTTATAAAAACATTAATATACAAAACCTTTAGGTTTTGAATCATTCTTTCCTGCTTTGTTGTCTGAAGAAGTTACAGGATAAAAATTAAAAGAAGTTGTTGTTTCTTCTTTATTATCACTTAAATTATAATTTTCTTCGTCTTCTTCACTATTTTCTGTAGTTGAATTAGAAGAAGATGAAGAAGAAGAGGAAAAAGAAGAAATTTTAGGTGATTTATCATTATTTAATTTAGAATAAAAAGTGTTATTTGCCTCAACAGACATTTTTAAATATTTTGATGGTTTTTAGACAATTAAAATGAGAAAATAAAATTTATTTAAAAAGAAATTTGATCTAAAAGAATATTTTTAGATTTTTGATTTTAATGATTTTTAAATGAATAAACAAATATTAATTTTTTGAGAATATTTTAAATAATTTATTGAAGAAAAAGAGAAAATAAAATATATGGACTAAATATAAAGTTTTAAAAGTGAAAATAATGCTCAAAAACTTCTTCAAATCAATATTAAAGTTAGAAAATATTAAAAAGAAAAAATAAATATTTAAAGAGGAAAATGTTTAAAATATATACAAATATTGTTTAGATTTGTTACTTCCCGTTTCCATTTTAGTGAATGAATAGAAAAGAAACTAAAACAAAAAAAATATTTTCAAAAAAAGATTTGCTTTAAAGTAATTTAGTAATTAAAAACTTTCTTTTAATTTTACTTTAAATATGGTAATTCCAAATTTTTTAAAAATATTTTTGTTAATTCCTCGATTTACTTGGGGAGATTGTATTGATAATAAGAGATGTATTGATAATAATAACTATTAATAAAATAACTTATAGTATTGATGATAATAATTGTAAATAGTAGATAAAGAATTAAAGAGGAAATAAAATTTAAAAAAATTTCAAAGTTTGGAAGCTTTTTGGCAACATTCCGATGAATGATTGGATGAAAATTATTGACTGACTTATTTTAAATTATAAGAAAAAAAGAAAAATAAACAAAAAAAATTACAAGATACGAGCGAGTAATTTGAGAAATTTTGTTTAAAGTGGAAAAGAAAGGTACAAAAAGTTCAAAAATATGTTTTCAAAATTCTAATCGTTTTTGTGAAAAAAATAAAATTTTTTTACATAAAACTTTTTTGTTTCATATATATGTATGTATAATTTATTATCGGTTAGATTTAATGATTCTAAACAAAATTACCAAATATGTGCCTCAAGAATAACAGAAAAAATCATTTTAGAATTATTTAAAAATAAAATCCTTCTTAAAAAAATTTTTGAAGGTTCGAATAAATAAAAAATTATTGTTTATTTTAAAGACAAATTGGTCATTATTTTTTATAAAATTTGCAGGATAAATATGTTTGTCTGGGATCAGTGTTCAAATC